CACATATTCTGCAGAGAACACACTTCTGCACATATTAATTACTGATTATTTGCAGAATTTGGCATATTGGGTAAAAAACAAAACAAAACCTTTTTCTCCAGCACATTAAACTCAGTAAATAAATATGAACTGTGCACTAAAATTTGCAGAAAAAGTTATATTTAAGTGTGTTCCCTGTAGAGGATGTGTCATTTTATGTCAAGGATATGTTATTTTATGTTACTTGTAATTAGGAATATTATTTTAAATCTGTATTTAATCATGTTTTCTAATATGTCTTGGGTATTTTCCTGGTCCTAATTCATGCCTATGTCTAAGTCCTCTTAACGCCTTTAAATCCCTGTTCTGCTGTGTTTATGCTTTGTCTCTGTGAAGTGGTACGTGGGCAGACGAAGAAATAAAGAAGAACAGATGCATTTAGCAGTAATAAAGAAAAAGGGTGGATTTTGTCTTCACTGCAGTTTTTGAACCATTTCCAGTGGGAAACCACTCATGAAGAAGAACAGAGACACTTCGGCCTTGTCAAAAGAAAAAAAAAACCTCCAGATGAAGTCCTGTGTAACGTTATCTGAGTGCTGACTGTCTCCCCTTTTTATTTTGTTGCAGTGACTGGCACACAAACTTGGGTATTTAGCTGATCATTCTCTTTCACTAATGACTCACTGTTTGCACATTTCAAAATATGTTCTAAAAGATTTCAGAACAGTCTTATCTCAGGGTGGACTGATGTGGGCCGATGCCAATATAATTTCATGTATTTACATTACTGTGCAAGAGACCCTTGACCCTTTATTTCATTTCTAGCCATGAAGTACAGGTTATTCAGCTTTCAGGAGATATTTCTGAGAAGAGAAGAGAAGATTAATCCACTTGCATAAGGAAAATATGAAAAAAACAGGAGTTTCCAAAACTGGAGTTCAACAAAAGAATTAAAAGCTACAGAGAAAATGGGACCCTTAACAACCACCTGGAAGACCCGGTAGACCCCAAAACTGCCCCCATCAGACAAACAGCACTTAAAGCTTTCATCTCTGAGAGAGAGGAGAAAATCAAGCTGCTTCAGATCTGAAAACATCCACAGGTGTTTCTGTCCATCCTTCCACTGTGAGAAGACGACTCAGCGCTATGGGTCTGAAAGGATGTGTAGCTGTCAGAGAAGCCTCACTGAGAAAAAGAGACGGACACATCAAACAAAGAAGCTGAACAATGGACTGACCACCCCAGAGTCCAGACCTCAACATCACCTCAATATCCCTGCAGATTTCTTTAAAAACTGAGTCTCCTGAAAAGGATGTTGTAAAGCTGTAATAAAGGTAAAGAGTGGCAACACTAAATACTAAAGAATTAATATTATATTTAGTTATTAAGGCTGGCTCGTTTTTCTTTTCAGGCACCTGTCAAAAGATTTAAAGTAAAAGCATCATTTGACGGCAGATGGTGAGCGTGGGGGGGTGTTTCTTAGAGTGCCCAGTTGTTTTAGGCCACATGTCAAGACTGTACAGTTTCTCACTGAATGCTGAGATTAAAGCTTGAAGCTTGTGGCTAGAATTGTATCATATAACCTAATACAGTCTCAAAAGATGCTACAGTTACTTTTTTCATCATTTTCTAACCTCTCTTTGTCCTTAAATAAATAAATAAATATATATACACCGATCAGGCATAAATTTGACCACCGCCTTGTTTATTCGCTCATTGTCCATTTTATCAGCTCCACTTACTATATAGGTGCACTTTGTAGTTCTACAGTTACAGACTGTAGTCCATCTGTTTCTCTGCATACTTTGTTACCCTGTTCTTCGGTGGTCAGGACCCCCATGGACCCTCACAGAGCAGGTACTATTTGGGTGGTGGATCATTCTCAGCACTGCAGTAACACTGACGTGGTGGTGGTGTGTTAGTGTGTGTTGTGCTGGTACGAGTGGATCAGACACAGCAGTGCTGCTGGAGTTTTTAAACACTGTGTCCACTCACTGTCCACTCTATTAGACACTCCTACCTTGTAAGTCCACCTTGTAGATGTAAAGTCAGAGACGATAGCTCATCTGGTGCTGCACAGTTTGTGTTGGTCATCCTCTAGTCCTTCATCAGTGGTCACAGGACGCTGCCCACAGGACACTGGTGGCTGGATATTTTTGGTTGGTGGACTATTCTCAGTCCAGCAGCGACACTGAGGTGTTTAAAAACTCCAGCAGCACTGCTGTGTCTGATCAACTCAGACTCTAGAGAATACAGTTCAACTGCTCCACAGCTCAATGCTGGTGGGCTTTTTACCCCTCTAGCCTGGCCGCTTGTCATTGGACATGGTGACCTTAGGCTCATGTGCAGCTGCTCCAGAGCATCCTGTTCTATTGTCAGCACTTTTCTATGGAGACAACACAAGCTGTGTGTGCATTTGGACTTCCGTGTCTTAATGCAGCTGAATTCACTAATAAGAAAGGGTGTCCTCAAACTTTTGGACATGTAGTGTATGTGTAAATGACATATTCCTGTCCCCACTTCCACTATTACTACCACACATTTTAGTGTCTGACATCCATTTTTTCAAGGACCATGTCTAAAATCACTCAATCATTCATTCTTTCATTCAAAGTAATTCTCAAATGAGAAATGATGCTTTGCAGAAGAGACAGCTTACTGGCTAATTTCCACCTGCAGACCCTCAACACCAGAGCTTCCCAAGCACATCATGCTTTCACCCACTCCAACTAAGCAAGGGATTGTTAATGAGCTGCGTGGCTGGATCAGGTCTGTTGGGAGGTGGGAAAACACTAAAAGGAGCCTCCAGGACCAGGACTGTGAAACACTGCTGTTCATAGGCTGGTTAAAAGGACATTACACCGGTCTTGGTGTTGGTTCAAAATACTGACAATCAGTAGTACACAGTGCGTACTGCCTGGTGCTACTGGCCGTATCATTCCACAGATGGACCATAAAAAACGAAGAGCCTGAGGCCCAAGTGGGCACGCACTTTGGAGATTTTTTCTGCATTCTTGTTCCCTTTTAACAAACCTGTTTGTCTGGATATGGCACTAACCAGATCAAATCAGATTTTGTTGGAATTTGTTCCAACTGTAACCACTGTGACAGCTAATGTGACAATGTGATGATGGTGGTTTAACAGGCAACTTGTTACTGGAAGCAAATCAAGCCAGAACCCAAAGATCAAGCAAGTCAGTGTGAGCGTGAAATCATAGCACTTTCCTTCCATAGTGTGACATATTTGTGAAACAGCATATCAGGGAGGGTCTCTGAACTAGTTGAGCTTTTCTCTCCATGATCGGAGGGGGTGACGGGTCCTGGAGGTGAAACATAATGTTATGGGTTAATATTTTTCCACAGTGACAATCAAAAATCAGTGTTCTAGAGGAGACCAAAGTCATTCCATTTTAAGGGAAGATTTTTTGTCATCAATTTTGTCTTCTAAATAATATTAGATTCACATATCTGATATGTAAGTTGTGCTTAATATGACCAGGGACACAAAAAAGTCCATTCGAGTTCTAGGTTGGCTTTAAGAAATGTGCCTATTTTTAATAAGACAAACTTCACACTTTGATGTTGAGGAGAGGCAGCTCATTGTCACAAGCTGAAGGCAAATCCCCAAGTGAGCTGTAACGTGAAGCTGTGTACTGCAGTCCTGTTAGACACTGCTGACACAACTTACCGCCACATTTGGTACCACATGTCCAAACAGACTTCAGCTCCCATCAGCCCAGTTATACGAGTGAGAACTGCTGCTATAGACCACAAGCACCTGTGAATAAACTTATTCTACAAGCTCCGCTCAAGAAAAACGGTACACCTAAACAGTTTTTTCTCCAATGGCAATCACCGTTCTCAATAAGCCAAAACAAATACAATGGACTCACTTTCACCATGTCATTATGTTGTATGTAAACCCTTATTTTTATTGTATGTCGGCACTTTCTTAACTTTGCCATTATTGCCAAGTTAAGTGCCTCTGTACTACAGACATTTGGCAAATAAAGTGATTCTGAATTTTGGAAAAATGTAAAGTCACAGACAGACTTTCAATAAAACCAATTCAAGAATTAAAAACAGTAGCAAAGCCATCGAAGCATGCCAGTATTTGCATGAGCATCACTTTTGATGTCATTGTATCCTACATCTTTCCAGTGCTGCAACATGGCCAGTTATATGAGCTTATTAAAGGAGAAGTTAAAAAGTGCGCACTTCCTGTGAACATTTCTTATACACCATTTGTCCCATCAGTATCTAGACAGGCCTTCTAATTAGTGAATTCAGCTACTTTTAGATGCACCCATTGCTTACACAGGTGTTCAGCTGTACATGCAAAAGCATTGCCTATAGAATTGGATGCTATGAAGCAGCCACACATGGGGCTAAAGGCCATCAGGCCCAATGCCAAGCACCAGTTAGAGGGGTATAAGTCCTGCAGAATTGGGCTGTGGGGTAGAGGAACTGTGTTCTCTGGAGTGATGGAGCTGCATCCAATATCTTTGGCAGGAGTTGGAGTGATCCAGAACTAATCATCCAACATCCATACCTGACCTCACTATTGGTCCTGTGGCTGCAATCATATCCTCACAGCAATGTTCCACCATCCAATGTTAAGCCTTCCCCTTCTGTTTTCAATTTCCCTTAAGTAAACTCCCTTAGGAGTTTTTCCCTTAGGCAAACAAAGCTGCACTATGTAAGTTTTTGGGGATTTGGAGACCCCTCTGGAGAAAATGTGTAATTTCACACAACATGCAGAAGAATGGTTTGTAATGATGGTTGTGCTGTGGAGACGAGCAGATGAATCTGATAACTGTGACTGCTAAAGGGGATTCAAAGACATCTCAGTCAAAATTTAGTGAAAGACGTGTCTGAGGAAGTGAGTGAATTATCTGCTAGTCATATTTTCATAAGTATGATGCTGATTTTGCATTTGGGGCCTAAACATTAGTTTAGCATGTTTTTCCTTCTGACTTAGTAACGCTACTGCTTTCAATTTCAACAAAAAAATCTTACCATGCAGCTTTTAAAGTCACTTTAATTTAACAGGGCAACTTCAGAAGATATAAAGACATGACCCAAGCTTTTAGAGGTGTTCAGAGAGGACAAGGTACTTTGCAATAGAGACAAATGGGGGAAAACAAAAAAACAAAAAAATAAATCAGTATAGATAAGCATGTGGAAACGCAAATGAGTTGGAAGACAACCTCAACCACGCGACACTGTTTAGACCAAGTAGGGCTTCCAATCGTGATTCACAACTGAAATTACAGCTTAGAACAAATCCATATTCAGAAAACTGGCCTGAAGTGTAGATAAGGATTCTGTGAAGCTGCACTGGACCATGCGCAACCTGCACTGCCCAAGTGCAACTGAGAAGCTACTTACTGGTACCTTAATAGCAGTGTAATCTGTCCCAACAAAAGATTAAGACGATAAAAGAACAGGTTGCTGTAGTTAAATTGTTCAGTGCACGTTTTATTTAGGATTGCTCGCTGTCTCTGAAGAAAGACAAAATGTTACAGAAAAAGGTTGAAGGGTCTCTCATAAGCGCCGGCGTGAACACATCCGTGCAATGCCGAGATTAACCGCACACTTAAAAGATAAATTAAAAAAATGTTACTTATATTAAATACATATACAGATTGCATTGGCTCAACAATGACAAGCTGACATGCTGAGTCTTTATTCGTTTAATTAAGTATAATTTGTGTATAAAAGAGGACTTGCAAAAAAAGGAGAGGGAAGCATTTTTACAAAAAACACAGCATGTGCTTCCTTGCCCACCCAGTTTCTGTTTAAAAGCCCCCAGAAACAGCTATTAAAAGCAGCATAGCTACAGCTCCGAGACAAGGGTAGGAGAATGAGAACAGCACAGACTGAAGAAGCATCAGCCTCTGATATGAAAGGGCGATATCTCTTTCCCCTGCACAGTTTGAGTGGTTTAAAGCAGTGGTCCTTAGGGACCCCCAGATGGTCCACATTTTTGCTCTAGCCCTTATGTGCTGGTAGTTGGATTGGAGCAAAATTGTGGATCTTCTGGAGGGACCCTGAGAATCAGTTTGAGAACCACTGCTTTAAAGCAGTGAGCACCAACCCGGGTCCAGGAGATCTACCTTCCAGCGGAGTCTAGTTGCAAACACAATCTGCAACAACTGCTCCAGCTAATTAGCCACTACAGAAGCCTCTGATTGGCTGGATTAGATGCATTAGATGCAGGTTGGAACAAAACTCTGCAGGAAAGTAGATCTCCAGGACAAGGGCTGGCGACCCCTGCTTTAAAGGAATACTCCAGCATTTTTCCAACCTAGTCTCCATCTGCCACATCTGCATTATACAGTCAGTTACCATGGAGCGCAATTTATTTCCCTGTTGACTTCTGTCAGTAAATCAAAACTATATAGTTTTTGCATCTTTAATGTAAATTGTCAATCTGTAGAATTTGTTTTTTCAGAGATGGAACTAGTTTTCCAGACTGATTTGTTACCAGTGTAGGGTCGTGGACAGAGTTTTCACAGGCTCCATTCGATTGCCATGGTTAACAGAAAATTAAGGGAAAGCTTTTTTGTGGTACGGTGGTGTTCCAATGTGGGGAAAGTCAGATAAAACTTAAAAAAACAACAAAAACAAAAACAAAAAAAAACACTTATGTCTGCCTCATCCTAAGACCCATAACAAGTGTTGCAGTTAAGAATTCACATTGAATAGTTACATATATCAAGCATTTATACACAGAATTCAACAACTACCCAGTGACTTCTATAATTAGCGAGTTCTGAGTCTGTGTTTTTGGCTTCAGTACAAGGAAATGCGTCCAAATCATTGTTCATGGTAACTGACTGTACGATAGACGCAAAGGTTGAAAAAAAAATGCTGGAGTGCTCCTTTAAGTCGTCTAGTTCAATCAATATCAAATGGAAATGTCTGGGTGATGCAGAAATGCTGTACTGCACAAGCACATTGGAAGAACACCGCAGCCACGTAGTGTAAAGAGTGCTGGATAAGAATTTGTTGTTTGTGCTGCATGAAACCATGGATCATGGATTTGGCCAATATTGAGCTACAGGAGAGCCAACAGAAATATACCTGGAGATTTCTGCAAATCTGACAAATTTTCATACATACACAAATTTGAAATTCAACAGCTTAAATTTGTTTCCATATTTCTTACGAATTATTGATACCTTTGATAAAGAAAGGGCAAATTTTAAGAGGAATAAGCAGGAGTAGGGCAGGAGTGTGGAGTACTGATCCTGGACTGGCACTCACCAAGCAAAATACTGCACAATAGTGCACTTATTCCTACTGTTTATGTGCAGTTTTTCTAGGTCACCGTTACAATTTTTCACAAACGTTTATTAAAAACTAATTTTGTTATCCTGTCTGGACAATGTTTCTGTGGGTAGAGCAGCAGCGACTCAAATGATGCACATTCTTATAAGAAGCCAAGAGTCTACAGGTGTCAGGCAGGAGCAACGGAAGTAGTGGGTACATTCTCTTAGATGCCAGGAGCTGTGGAAGTGGGGTGTGAGATTTGTTTTTACATGGCTTTCACTTTAATTTGCTTCATCTTCATTTGCTTCTTCTCCAGTTTCTTCTGCTCTCGACGCTGAGCAGCTTCCTGAAAGAGACAAAGAGAAATGTGATAAACACAAACGCACCAATAATTAATATGAATCATTTCCTAAAGACACACCGGCCAAAATGAGAAATTTAAATAATCTTGACACCTGCTGTAAACATGCTTACTCACATCCTACAGTTGTGCCACAGTGGTCAACAACCCTCCCTGTGAAGATCTATTTTTGCCCTTACCAAACACTAAAGCATCTGAATCAGCCAAAGACTTCTGTAGAAGTAAATTAGCTAGAGCAGGAGTGGCAGAGTGTGCTTGGAACTAGACTCTGCAGGAAGGTAGATCTCCAGGACCGGGTTTGGTGACCACTGCTCTAGAGTGAGATTTTGCAGTTTAAAGAATAGGACCTCTTTCTGATGAGGGGAAGAGAAATCTGAAGAAATTAAGAACTGCTTTGGGTGGACTTTTAGGAGCAGACTGTTTTAAAATGTTTTTGAAAGAAAGCAGATCGCTAACAAAGCTAATGACTATCTTAAAAATTTAGCTACCCAGCTATTTGGCCGCATTACCTCAGGTTGGCATCTTTTCTCTGGCTGCATTGCTTAAAAAAATTGTCTCTAGTGTCCACTTTCATGCTCAATATCGTCAAAATCACTGATTTTTTTTTAAATTGTTTAACAACTGCGGAACGAGTTACACTAATGTTAGCTTGTTTGCATTTATTAGGCTACAGCTCAGTGTCTAAGCTAGCAGTCAGGACTAACTGTCACTACAGGGATTTGCATGATGTATTTGTGTGCTGTAGTGAGGACACTGATGAACAAAAAAAATGTAAACAATATAAAATCGTGAACTGTCAAACACTATAACACCTACATGAAATGCAACTCTTAGGCCACAATGCCCCTTAAAGAATCATGAATCCAGACACTGCTAAAAGTCTAAGATTTCCACCCGGTCTCATTAATTCCTCATAATTTAATGCAATATTTCCCATCTCTCTCCACCACACCTCTAGGCGGCGCTGTCTCTCAGGGTCCTCCTCATTCATGATCCTTTCTTTCTCCGCTCTCTTCTTCTCCTCCCGGCGCGTCTGCGCTGCCTCCTGCCTTTGAGCGTGAGTCTGCTTCAGGAAGTTCTCCTCCACACGGGCACGGTTACGATCTGCTTTCAGCTTCCCCTAATCGTGTACATAAGGTGTTAATAACGTAATCTATACTGTAAATACAAATGTTTAGATTAAAAACTAAACAAATAAATTAAAAAAAAATACAGCAGCACTATTTAAATGCGTCAATGTTTAGTTCTGTTTTCCTATTTGAGAACAAACTGGGGAATCCTTCACTGTCACATCTAACAGCAAGTGTTATAAAAGAAGAAACTCAAAAATGAGATATTCAAGTTTTAAATACTAGTGTTTTAATAAATGAGTTTCACTGGTACGTCTGAGTATGTATCTCAGTCTGTGTGTGCTCACCTCTCTGTTGAGGCGCAGCTTCTTGACTTTGTCGATGCTGTAGATCACCATGTTCATCAGGGGAACCAGGCTGTCCATGTCTTTGGGAGATGTGTTACCCATCCCAGGCACTAAAGACAAAAATCAATACAGCTTTTTATATTTAACACTGTAGTTTAGCAATATAGTGTTCAGTTATAGTCTCTATAAAGAGAACAGAATTCTGAATCATCTTTAGCAGAGAATTAGGGATAGAAGTTTTGCTGGACTTGCTCTGCATGTCCATGTATCTCTTACCATTAAATGTAAACAGCAGCGTTTTCTTGGTCTCAGGGAGCTTTAAGGGCTGGCCCTCCCTAAAATACGCAACCAGAATAGATAAGCAGTTAGCAAAATGTATTACATTTTAACACCAATATGGGTGCGCACAGAAATGTTACTTTAAAAAGTCTTACTCTTGCATAACTTTTGGACCAGAAAATTGGTCCGAGAAATGGATGGACTCAATCTTGTCGGCATGGTTGGTGACGTAATGTACCATCTGAAAGACAGATGCTCAAAATGAGCTCAAGAACGACATGATCTGAATATCAAAATTCTAAATTTGTTTGGCAGGTCAGTGGTTTGAAAATGCACTGAGAAACAAAAACGTTAGGACAATGAGGTGAAATGGTTATTTTTGTTATATATTCCAGATGGGCATAACACTTAAGCACAAAAGGTCAGCTTTTATATAATGACTTAATATGGAGTGCTCTGCCAAGCTTTTATGGCAGCCTTTTTCAGTTGGTGCTTTTTTTGAGGAAGCCAACACTTCAGTTTCCTCAATCAGCTGGGTAAGCCAGTCTCAACTTACCACCTTTTCATTCTGATTAACTCGTTGGTTAAGTGTACAGTATACTTCAGGTCTTTTATTGCTGCCTTATGAACTTCTGTCCAATGAGTTTGGAGGCACAGGTAAACAAAATGTTTCTGAATGCTTCAGAACTCATTCTGCTGCTATTATCATCAGTTACATATTAATGAAGACAAGTGAGAAGCAGCCATGGACTGCTATTAAAAAAATATTTCTCAGCCGAAACAGGTTAAAAAACACAGTATGGCTTATGTTGTATGGAAAACAGTGCTCAGAAAACAAAAGCTGACATTCTGTACTTTAGTTTAGTTTTGATCTGATAACAATAAAATATTGTCATATTGCCCAACCTCCACCTGGAATACAAGTACAACCAATTTCATCTCCCTGTCCCCCTATTTTTACTTCTCACTACATCTCTCCAAATAGCCCGGTCCAAACTGAGCTGCTGGACAAGAGGCTCCAGCTCACCTTAGTGTCCATCACTCCATCCGTGACCTCAGCCATCTCCGATAGGATGGCCAGAGAGTCAGGGAGGCCGTACTTCGCCCCCGACTTGGGCTTGTCCCCGCAGAACTCACTCTGGAGAACAGCAAAGAAAGACAAAGAAAAAAGGATAAAGACAAGAAGAGGGGCAAGAGGGGCAAGAAAGGCAGAATGAAAGAAAAAACAGACAAGGAAAAATGAAAGACAAGCAGAAAGAAGTGGGAAAAATTGGTTGATGTACAAAGGCATGTCTTATTTTTGCCACAAACTACAGAAATCTATTCCTCACCAGGTCCTGCATCTCCTTCTGCATCCGGCTCATGGCCTTACGACTGCCCACAGCAAACACAAAAGTGTCCATGTCCTCGTCGTTCAGAGTCACTTTGATTTGCTGGGAATAAAAGGACAAGACAATTCAATTTCTCATCCAAACAAACCCTTATAAGATATAATCCAGCTGCTCTAGTTTGTCCGTGTTTGTACACCCACCACTTGATCACAGGTTGGCCTCATCATCCTGGCCAGCACATTCAGCAGGTCCTGCCTTTTCAGAAACTGTTTATTATCACACATTTCATGTAATACATCTTGTAACAAACAATTAATTTCCTGATTTAACCTAAATGATGACATGACAACTAGCTAAAGCATTAACTGAGCTTTAAGGCAGAAAGGGCGGTGAACTGGGCTCTAGCTTAAAGGCCATGTCACATGTGCTTTAACAAGAACACATAACCTGCAGTACCTTGAGCTGAATGAGCATGCCTTCACAGCAGACGCGTCCTGAGCACCACAGATTATAGATGTGTTCATTCTCCTGGTTCAGCTTGCCTGTGCTGGTGGCTTCCTTACTTGTGCCATCATCACCTACAGCAGCAACATCAGCAAACTCAGCACAACAGCACTGTATACAACACCAGCACAGACAATATCTTAGAAAACTGTAAATTTAAGGCAGAGGTCTTCAAATCTTGACCTTAAATCCAGTTTCTGCTCCTGTACTTTGGCATCACTGGTAGTTAACTGAACTGTTGGTGTCAAACTCAACCACTAAAAGAGTCATATTAAAAAATCTCAACAAATCTGTGGGCCAGCCATATTTTTATTTTATTTTTACTTAACATTTTGCCATGACCCCAACTGGCCATTGTTTGTTCAAAATATCCCAAAACTACAACAGCACCTAAGTGAATACTTGAACAATTCAAAAATAATTTTAAATAAAAACAAAGTTTTATATAGACTACATTAGCTGCAGATCACTGTTAAGCCTCTTTAAATGTCCCCAGTGTACAGTAGGTTTTCTAAAACCGCCCATTCGCCTGAACTAAACACCTGGCATCTTTTTTATTTATTTTTGTGGCGCAGTCCCATAGATCGTTTTTTGGGAGGGGGTGGGAGTACACTTTACGTGGCAGTGCATGCTGGGAACTGTAGTGAAGTTAATGGGGAAATATTAATTATGTTAAAATAGTAATAGAAAAATCAAAATAATTTTGCGGGCGAAACAGAATTGTGCGACGGGCCTGACTTGACCAGCAGGCCTTGTGTTTAACACATGGGGTGTAAACGATTAGCCATCCAGTGTCACTTACTAGTTACTACAAAATCCAAAACCGGAATCTGGATTCAAACTCCAAATTAGAGAGCTCTGATTTGAGCTCTGAGGGGCTCTACAAATAAATCATTACCATCTGATTTAAAAATAAACAAATAATAAATAAATAAAACACCTCTTAGCTCCATTTGTTTTTTTGTTTGTTTTACACCATTTGAAAATGCCAGCTTCCCTTTACTTTCAAATTTTCATGGTGACATTAAAACATTTCTTCTCCTGAAAATACATAATTTTGAAGTTGATTTTGTTCAGCACCAAAATGCAAAAGAACAGAACTAGAGTGAACGAGAGATGAAATAAAAATGAGAACTGCAGGTGATAATGAGAGAGAACACCAAGGCAAGAGTGAGGGGAGGAGATAATTACCAACGAGAGCAAAGTTGCTCTCCAACAGCTCCCTATGGGAGTTGAACCAAGCCTGAGCCAGTCTGCTGTTTTTGTTTTTGCCAATGATGTAATTCATGATGTAGGCCAGGAGGCCTGTAACCATCAGGATCTCCATGTAGTAGCTCTCCCAGCTGTTCTGGAGATGTGCTGGGACCTAAAACACACACAAGACAAATATATCAGTTTTTTCCCTCTCCACTCTCCTCATTGTTTGAAGCTCCTTTTTTTATGTAGCTCTAAATGGTAACACTGCGGGTGGCAACTGACTAATGTCATAAGTGGAACTAATGTTTGCAATGTACTTTATAAAGGGCTTCATAAGAAAACATTGTATCCTCAACAAGTAGTACAAAATGCAGCTCATACGAGCCTCTTTTTGAAAGAATCGCACTGACTACCTGTATCATTAAGCATTTTTACAACTATAAATGGCCTTAAAGCACCTGAGTAACACACTGATTGTCTGTCTGCTTATGTTCCAGGATGTAACATTAAATCTGCAGATCTTCTTCACTTACAAAAGCAGTGGAGCCACTCTTATTGTAATTCTTTTTTATTTAGCTCTTCATTTTATCTTATTTTTCTGATGACTTTAATTTTCCTTGTACTTTTTTTTTTCTTGCTTGCGTGTTTCTCAGTGCATCTTCACGAAGGGTACATACTCATGTCTTTCAAAACAGAAAAATCTTTTACCACTGGATAGATGAGGTTGTCCTTGAAGGGCGGGTTGGTCTTCTCGTAACCCTCAAACTCGTCTTTGTCATACTTGCTGTACACGTCCTGATCCTGAAAGAGCAGACGGAAGTTACACATGCGGAAAAGACAAAGGACCATGTAGGTGCAGTCAGTTTGGGGATCATTTGAAGGCTCCACATCCTACTTTATTCTTGTAGAAATCCTTTCCATGAGGTCCACATTTGTGTGGGTTTATGTACCAGGCACAATCGTATTTCATTTACATGAACATTTTCCAATCTCTCTTTTTCCCTCAGAATTAAACAGGCTGTGTTTGTTGCTGTGCTTTTAAGCTCGATCTGTACTGACTGGCTGCCCTGCATTACACCTCATTCAGAAAGCAGTCTGGGCTGAAACACTCCTTATAACTTCAGTATGACCAGGCAGAGCTGAACAACTGTAGGCTGACCAGGAGGATGTGTGCAAATGTGTTGGTTTTCATAACATCACATTCATTCAAAATGGGTTGTTTTAGCAGCCTAGTTTTCATACATGAAACTTTGACAATTTCTACATACTACATCTCTTTAAATAAAAAAAAATAAATAAATAAAAAAAAATTGCCACAGTATGAGCCCTTTGAGACTCTTTAATATTGTGCCTTGCTCAGAAAGTGTTACAGGCTGAAACACCGCTTATAACTTCAATATGAATGGGTGGGACTTAACTGCTGTAGGCTGAATAGGTGTAATAGTTTGTGTGACATCACAAAAACTGAATTCAACAGCTTAGTTTTCATATATGGACTGGGGACAGAAAGGTATATTTTGAAACCAACAATGGTTATATACTACAACAAACTACTGTCTTTAAAAAATTAAAGATTATTCAAAGTAAAATTCAATTTTCTACTATGTGGGCCCTTTAAAATGTTGTCCAGGCATATCCTCAATCTCAAAAGCAAACCTGTAATTACATTTTTTATGTTAAATAATAACACTGTGTGAATACTTAATGATAAATGGAACACAAATTATCCAAAAATGACCAGATACAAATCCTTATCAGCATAATGATATTAATGTTAAAGCTCAGACAATTTTTCCTTCTCTTTTGTCATAACAGTGATAATATGCTCATCTAAACGACCCAAGCCCTGACTTACAGCTGAGCCTAGAAAGCACCTTACACCCACCTGTGCATCTGCATCCTCAAACTCATCTTGCCCGTCCTCAATCTCCACTGTGGCTTCATCCTCATCGTCTTCTACGGGTGTGGACGACGGCGCTGGCTTTGGTGGAGGCTCACTTTCCACCTCCACTGTTGGGTCCTCGTTAACATCCTCAAACTCAGCAAAATCGTTATCATCAAACTCAGCTAGGTCCTCGCCATCGTCAAACTCGTCATTGTAGCGCCCCCTGGTGTCAGGCAGCGTCAGCAGCAGCAGTAGGGCAGGGAGCAGCAACAGACAGCTCCGCATGGCTCAGCCTGCACAAGCAGAAATATAACAGAAAGGACGTGGCTTTAATATCTAGCAGGAGTGCAAAAATCTTAATGAAATGATTTGACTGCTGTTTTTCTTGGAATATTATTTAAAAGAGCATGGGATTACTTTTTGGTCAAAATAAAATGTGCTATTTTTAAAATATCAAAAATAAAAAAAGAACTTAAGGGAAACTCTAAAACATACCAAAATAATATAAATGAATATTATATTGCAGAGATTTCCACCCACAGTGGCTAAAGTTCTTTTCAAGGTTCACTGAGGAACAGTTGCAGGCACTTGACAAAATCTACAGCAACCAACACTTTGCACGCAGCATTACAGCTATTACTATTGCTCAGAGCTTCAAACAAGAGACGGAACAATTGATCAGCTATGTATCGGCATTGGACGATTTTCAGCCCCAGTTTGTGATCAGGCAATATTTCTCTAACTTGCTGATAACTAGCTAACTAGCTGATCTTGAGCTAATCAGTGACGTGAAACAAATGATCCATACTCTTATGGACTGCTGCAGCCTGCATGAAGCTCCTTGGTCACAGGACCCTGCAGCTCCTCCTTCAAAAGCTAGATAAAAATACAGACCTTTTGACTTTTGACTACAGGACTGAAGACCTATATACACACAGTACACAGAGATTTTTACGAATGAAAAAAACATGCATGTCAAACTTTAAAAATAAACATGTATATTAATACCATCTTTCACACCGGATCCGAAACTGATGGACTGTGACGCTGCATACAATTTTAAGCAGAGCCTGCTCTGTTGCCTGCACTGTATGGACGTGTTAAAATCAGGCTGACCAATCAGAGCTCTGTTCTCATGGTGGCAGCCCAAACAAACATGCATCAGGATGGCGGCAGAACTCTTGTAGCAGAGCACAACAGCTTACACAACGAACAAACACTGACTAAAAAATGCAAAGGTTTAAGACAATATATGGCGGACGAGAGCTGAAAGGATTTGAATGACAGCGACGGTATTTAACCAGAGTTCATTCACTCTTTTTAATGAGAGGAACAACAAGCAGAGGCAGAGCCTCAAATTCCCCCACTGTGGAAATACCTGCAGAATTATCATACAGCTTCAACCAGCTCCTGTAAGAGGTGGTGGAACTCCCTGTGTTGTCTTTTTTGTAGAACGAGATGTACCCAGTGTACGCACCGTTTATTTGTGGAGCTCAAATAAAAAATGTTTTAGACAAAAAACGGTGTGAAGGTTCCACTACATTCAAATTGCATCTGCTTTTTTTCCATCCAAAACAAAATTATACTTGGTGTGTAACGGCCTCAACAGTCCAGCCCCACCCTTGATCGGTATCGGCTAACGACCAATTGTGCCGAAGGGCAATCGGTATCGGCCCCAAAAACACAGATCGGTCCTCTGTACTTCAAACACCAGGCAACACAGCATCGCCTGGATAAAGCAGAACCACCACACAATCACCAACCTTCTTATAAAGACGCTGACCATTTTCGTTGCCTGCAAGAAAGGAACTATCTGGGCTGTCGTAAAACAACAAGAGCCATAACAACCAGACAGGGCTGGGTAACATGATCATCACCGTGATAATTCACATCACAGTAAGCTTTTCGGACCATGATTGTGGATATCACCTGTACTTTAATAACACTTCACCAATTGCGTGTCTCATTAAAAAGACAGCATAACTAGTCCTATTTAGTTGGACTTGGTGCAGCACAGCAAGTGAAATATTATATATATTATTATATAATAGTTTTTGATATTGAGGTCTGATAGCATTTTGTCTGGTTGTTCTTGTCTGGCCCTGTGATGGACTGGCGAACTGTCCGGTGTGTTTCCTGCCTTCCGCCCAATGACCGCCGAGATAGGCTCCAGCCCCCCCCCGCGACCCAGAAGGATAAGCGGCTTAGATAGTGTGCTGGTGTGTGTTTTTGTCTGTTCCGACTTACGACACTTCCCAAAAACTCAATATAATGACAAAGTGATCGTGAAAACTTAGTTAAGTATCTTATTATATTTTTGCCACATTGCCCATCTCTACAACCAAGCAGGAACCACTGTATTCAATTAAAATTTTTCAATGACCACTCATCCTTGCAGATGTGTACCAAACACTGGTGTCGGATATGTTTACATGCCCTAGGGGGCTGTTGTGAGATGGAGATGGAGGGGCAGGTGAAAAATGTTTTGAGTGTACACCAACCTTCTCTACTGGACACCAAAAGCATTCACTACAACAGTGTACCCTCACATCCCACATCCACCTCCTGTTATTGGTAAGCCAGAGGAAAACCCTGCTCAAGACATTCTAGTGTTGTCTAAGCCAAAACACTGATGTCTTTGGAGTCAAGAACCTGCTTATTGGGATAGAGCCTCCAACATTAAGGACTCCTCTGTTGACGTCAAAACAAGAATGCTTGATAATACAGCGGTCTGCATGCATGATACAATAGCCTCAACTGTGTGGGTCTCCAGTTCATCAGGAGCTGAGATGGACTCACCTGGCCTGAGGCTTTTGTTTCAGCTTGGATTTACTAATCATCTCTACACTCAAAGCATGTATTAGAAAATAAAAGAGGACAATTGCTCAAAGGCACACGGCACCTGGTAAAACAGCAGCCGTAAACTGAAAGAGCTGTGGTCTCTTTCATTTCCTTAAACAGTCAAAGTCCTGTGATCTGAGGCCCAGCGGCATTAAGCAAGTCTACCACTAAAGCGGCTACACCCTAAATGAAAGGACTTCTATTCCACACCAGATTTCTACTCATCTGATTTAGAAGGACAAGACCTCAGAGTTAATGGTTCTTCATTAGCTCGTCACTCTGTAACTACTAACCACAGTTCATAGCTGCTTGATCTGATGGAAGTCACTGCACTGCTTACAGTAGGAGCGCAGATCTGCGATCAGTTTTACCTTTTACCTTCACTGTTTTTAGCCCAGCGGTTGTACAATGAGAGGCTTTGTGCAGACAGGCAATGACACAACAAAGTGAGCAGCCTCAATTTCCCCTTCACACTCAACAGTGGAGGTCAAACAAAGGGTAATGAGTAAATTCATATATTTCCAAAAGGTGCACCTCTCAGGCTCTCCCAACAATCTCTCATTTATCATATTGTGAGGAAAACACTGTCAACAAACAAAATTCAGCCTCTGGGTGTGTCTATTTTCATACTGATCATCGCCAAGTTGAACCATTTTGCCTCTGCGTTGTCTTTAGATAAAATCACCATTGTTTCTGCGCAAAAACAATCTGTCTAGTACACAGAGGTGGGCGATATGACAAAATGTAACATCACAATACTTCAGGATGTTGTTTTTACAAACCACACTGGGTCACAATGTTTATTTTTCTAACATCCAATAAGTTAGAACAGAGAAAGTAGTGCCACATTTTAAAAATACTATGAAAAAAACTACGAATCCAATTACTATTCAACATTTCACACACTGTGCTGCACTAAACCCAATAAAACAGGACTAATTTTGCTCTTAATGCAGTTAAGAATTGATTTTTAAGTACTGACGAGATCCACAATGAGCTCAGAAAAGCTTACTGTGATGTAATTTATCACACTAACTAACGTAAAGAATTGTCATACTGTCGAGCTCTAGTAAAACATAAGAGCTCCACAGTTGTTTAACTCAAAAAAATATCGAAAATCGTCACGTTTTAACCGCCGCACCGGATATCGTATCGAACACTGCCCAACACGATAAAGTGATCAGCCCTCCATGCTTAGCATTAAACGGAGGTCAAACACAAAGTAATAGACATGTCTGCTGGTTAAATAGGGGAATATACCGAATACACAGGCCAGGCAGCTACTGTCCACCCACAGTTCGGACAAAGCCTAAGCTAATAAGAGGCTAAATGCTGACGAATCAAATCTCCGCAGATATCTAACTGATTATTAACGAGATAGCCGGGCAGATTAGAGACACAGCTTAGTTAGCCATGTCGCCTGTTAGCTTAACGTTACCTAGCGACGCTTTAACGGTGCTTAGCACAAACATAAACAACTGTTCGTTTTACAACGTTTTCTGTATCCGCAGTTAAACACCTCGCAAACCCGCAGGTTTGGTCAGAAAATATATCAGCTTGAGAGTTAAATGCTCGTCGTGTTGAGTTTATAGTAGTTAACCTAGCTAACTAGAAACGGCACTGAAGTCAGCTCGCTACACGCCAGCTTCTTGTACGAATTTCCCCGTGCCACCTTAAATGGTGCAGCAGTTACGTTCTGATGTCCGAAGCACCATTTAAGGTGGAATGTGAAAATACGAACAAGAGGCTGGCGAACAGGAAACTAACTTCGGCCTCGTAAAACAGCTAAGCTAGCAGTTTTCTCTCTAAAGCTAGCTAAGAGAACAGACGCTCCGTGTCGCAAGTTTTCGGAGTAAAAAATACTTACAAAAAAAACGATGAATAGTTTTCTTGTAGCTCTAAACGTTACTTCGATGACTTAACTTTAGTAGTGAAAGTATTAGCACCAAAATATACTTCAAACGCTCAAGTTGGATTATTATCTGTCAGCTTCTTCTTCGAGTTATCCGTTCCACCTTAAAACAGTGCCGCAGTTGCGTAGAATGTAACTGCTGCTACTGCACCATTTAAGGTGGAACGGAAAATTCGAAGAAGAGGCCAAGTTAAGCCTCGTTTTCGGATTTAGTTGCTGATTCCTTAAAATATAAGTGCGGGTAGCAGATTGAGACTAAAAGATAACGATATCGTTACTGTAAAATACGTTTTTGTAACGAATCTCGCCCCAAAACTCGCGATGCTGCAGCTGCTGCTAACGTTGACAGCCCAGCCTAGCTAACGTTAACCTAGCTAACCTGCTTCTTACTCGGATGTCAAATCCGAACATTTCATTTGACCGTCTAACTACATTTTGACCGCGACCGCAAACGAACATCAACAGCACTATAAAGCTTAGGCGCTTACCTTCAAAACTTGTCTTGTATTTTAACGTTATATCTCAGGCGTTTCTTGCTTGGGTCAACAGTATTTCACAGCTCGACCGTCTTCTGCTAGCGAGGGCCGCGTCCCATGCTCATTGCTCAATCCCACAAGTCTGTGCAGTAACTTAATACTTCAAGAATATGGCGTGGGGCGCGCTCCAATAAGCATATGTGCGGTCTAACTAGGACGCCTAAGGAGTGCACAACTTTGTTTTAGTGCTATTCCTGCCACTTTAAATCAATAATGGGCTGTCAACGAGCTGATTAGTTGGATTATGAGTGTTGGAAGCAGAGAAAACACTAAAATGTGCAGGACTGTGGGCCTCCAGGACCAGGGTTGAGCAACTGGCTGGCGCACTCATCTGTTGTAGGATTGATTACACTTTGTCCCAAACTACATATTTGCTGTTTGTGCACTAACAAAGTTCATACCTTTGCATTTGCTATGTATTCAAGTGTGTCCTATTTTTCCATTGTGCAAAAGCACAGTACACAAGACTACACTCAATGCCCCCTACGTGCACCCTTAACTGAATACCACATAAAAAGCATTTCAAAGCTTAGGCGTTTACCTTTAAGTGTGTCTTGTGTTTTAATGATCTATCACAGGTGTTTTTTGCTTGGGTCAACAGTATTTCACAGCTCGACCGTCTTCTGCTAGCGAGGGCCGCGTCCCATCCTCATTGCTCAGCCCCACAAGTCTGTGCAGTAACTTAATACATTAAGAATATGGCGTGGGACGCGCTCCAATAAGCATATGTGCGTTCTAACTAGGCTGCCTAAGGAGTGAGTAACTGTTCTAGAATGCTCGGCTAATGTGCGTTTTTGTTCTAGATCAATTAGCTGGTGCACTCTCCCGTTGTAGGAGAGTAAAAAAACTACACACTCGCGTTTTAGGCACTTCTATGCGAGTTCATATGTTTTTCTGGTATGTATTCAAGTGTGTCCTATTTCTCAAATGTGCAAAAGCACAGTATACAAGACTTCACTGAATGCACTCTTTACTGAACACCACATAAAAGCAGTGTTACGCAAAGTGTATATCCTGCAATTCAAGGCATTGGTGTTCTAATATGTTGTTCAGGTTGCTGTCTTAATAAGTGTTGCACACTTTTGTTAAAATCAGAAATATGTCATATAAGTGTGTAATTAAGTAAGACTTGGTCAACCAAGATCAAGAATTATTTATATAAATGAATAAAATAAATAAATAATATAAATGAAAAAAAGCCATAACATTCATAGTTGGTGCAGCCTTATTTAGAACACAGCTGTGGTGTTGGAGCAAGAAAAAAAATCAGAAAATTTTATAAAAGTAATCCACAAATAAAACACGTACCATCAATTTGTACATATTTATCAGTGGAACCGTCATTTTTTTATTATTCGCCAACTTCTTGTTCGCATTTTCAGTTCCACCTTAAACGGTGCAGCACTTACATTCCGGCGCCTGCATTATTTAAGGTGGAACGGATAATTCGAACATATGGCTCTAAAATAAGACGCAAATTGATGCTTCGTGGTCTTTAATTGGGCAATGCCCAATTATTCTCACTCCACTTTAAAACAGAAAAAAGGAAAAAACAGATTTCTATCGTATACCACGCTGCAGATCAGGACTTTTATTTTGAAATTGGCGATCAAACCCTCAACCCCGTCGCCTTATAGTTCTTTGCTGAAGAGAAAAGGCCCGATGAGGCTTCAGGGTGGTGTTGTGATTCAGAAAAACAAGTTTATATATTTAGCATGCCGCATAATTAATTTTTGAATAGCGACACGCGGGGAGTGAGCGAATCTAGGCTGAGCTAAACTAAGCCAGCTGCGTAGTTTAGCTGAGCTGCTGCAGGAAAGCCGTTGTTGTGTTATTAGTGTTATGACGTTCCCTTTGTCTGCCTTAACGGGACGTTTGCTGGCATTTTCGCTGTAAAACTCTCCACTCCCGCGTCCTTGGGGTGTATTCTGTCTTTAGCTAGCCTCATTTGTTCGGTTCGGGTTCGTGTGGAGCCGAGTAATCCGCCATGTCTCTGCACGGTAAGAGGAAAGAGATCTATAAATACGAGGCGCCATGGACGGTGTATGCCATGAACTGGAGCGTCAGACCAGACAAGCGCTTTCGCCTGGCTCTCGGCAGCTTTGTGGAGGAGTACAACAACAAGGTAAAGAAACTGCTCACATTAAGCCTCTATATTCTTTCTTGTGCCATTTGAGTTACAGAATGTATCCTAACTGCCGCACCATTTAAGGTGGAACCGGAAAATTCAAACAAGAAGCTGAAGCTAACTTCAGCCTCGTGGGTTTATTTGTGTTTGCCAGTGGTCCTCTAACGTCAGCTCTCTATTTGGCACAAATTCTTCTCCATAGGTCTAAATCTAGTGAATCGAGCTACTTCAGATGCACCAATTGCTGACACACAGCTGTTATAATATCCATAGAAAAGCACTGACCAGTAAAATGAGATGCACTGAAGCAGTCACACATGAGACTAAGGTCACCAAGTCTGCTAGAGGGGTATAAATCCCCCCAGCATTGGGCTGTGGAGCAGTGGACCTGTGTTCTCTGGAGTGATGAATTGGAGTGATTCAGAACTGATCATCCAACATCAGTAATGCCCTTGTGGCTGAATGCAATCAAATCCTCACAGCAGTGTTCGGACATCTAGTGTAAAGCCTTCTCTGAGGAGTAGTTACTGCAGCAAAGAGGGGACAAACTCCCTGTTAACACTCAGTGTGTCTCAAGAAGGAACACTGGACGATTTTTGGACATATATTCTAACTCAGTCCAGCTGATGCACAGTTTAGCTCTAAACATAACTCGTCAGCTTGTATCCGAACCCTTCCAGAGCAGGAAAACACCACACTGTGCAGTGCAGGTGGTCTACAGCACTGGAGGTGGGAAATGCTGGGCTAGATATTGTCTTTGATTAGACAAGGTGTGTAAAATTTGTGTTGGTGATGATGCGTGAATGTGTTTGGGGAAAATATCGTATCGTGATTTTTCTGGCCGATACTGTGATTTAGATTCAACTTTGTCATTGTGCAGTGCAGGTGCAGAGCCAGTGGAATGCAGTTAGCATCTAACCAGAAGTGCAAAATACAGTATTACTTGCATATAAAGTGCAGAAGAACAGTAGAGTGGTAAAACAATAGATATGGAAGTATATATATAATACACATATATACAGGGTGAATGTAATTAAATGCAATTGTAAATAAATTAAATGTAATTATTTTCTAAAAATTAAGCTCTAGTCCTTTTTTACGTCATGACGAGCAGTGTATAGATTTTTTTTGGACTCGAGGTTCGAACGCTGAATGTATTGAGTGTGAGTGCCAGTTCAGTGCAGTGAAGCTCTGCATTATTAGGTTGTCCCCAGTAAAACTTAAGACAATGTTGAATAGTGATATAATTAAAATTGCAGCTCTTGTGATTTGAAAATTAGATATGTATATACTCACTCCTGGGGTAGAAAAATGGCAAAACATTAAGCTTTTAATGGTCCTGACAACAAATAATATAACGAATAGATAAAGTAACTTAGTAGGAGATTTTTTCCCTTCGATTTTTTTGAATGTTGAAATCTTGTAGGTGAACCTGCAGACAGCCTTTTACAGAAAGAGGAGTCAGTATTTTTCCACAGAGCATTGATGGCTTCAAACAGTTGAAAAACATTGCCAAGCTAGTTTGTGCTGGTTTGTGTTTAATGTGAGACCCAGTATTCTCTGAACTGCGAAGTGAATCTGGACTCTGATTGCCAAAACCAGTAAAAACCAATATTGTATAATATACTTTACTGTGTTCCCTGTTCTACCACACCTATGGTCTTGGGCAGGGCTGTCTAAAGTGGGGTGTATGAGCCAGAGATGGTCTGTGAGATGTTTGATTTGGCCCACCCGAACCCCACCCCTCTCACACAATGAGAGGAAAAAAAATTTCCGTTGAAATTTTATTTCAGAAGTATCTTATTAACAATATATAGCGTATAATACGCATTAAAAGCATGCACACACATACACACACATGCATGTATATGTATGTGTCTATATATTCCTAAACTTTTGTGTCAGCTGAGCCCCTCTGACCTAAATTATTTGCCTTAAGTACCCCTTAAGATTTTAAGTAGGCTAAAGTGAAATGAAACCATATAGGAAATGAAATAGTTTTGTGTTCCATTTAAAAAAGAAATAAAGGTGCAACAAAGGGTTTTTAAACAGTGCCACAGAAGAACTACGACAACAGTAAGATCCATGTTTGTAAGCGAGATGTACATAATATAAAGATTCTTTGCCAAGTTGAGGGTTCTTTATAGAACGTTTATGTTACACTGAGTTTCTTTAAACCTTAAAAAATGCTTCTTCACCCTCATATCATTCCTTAAAAGGTTCTTCAGGAAACAAAAAGGTTCTTCAGTGGCATCATGCAAAAGACCCCTTTCTGGTATATTTATTTTTAAGAGTTCAGGTTTTCATGATTAATTCCCAAATGTCTGTTTAGGAAAGCTTGCTTTATACTTTAGAAATCAGCGTTAAATTTTGCCCCCTTTAGATGTTCAATCTTTTATTTAGCATCCCGTTTTCATGAACCGCCTGCAGCGCTACCATGAACCCCTATGCAAGCCCCCCGGATGGGAAACTCTGTTGTAGGGTGTCACAAGATTACACAATACATTCAAATATAAATATCTTCAATAGTGCATTTAATATTTCCAAACCTAAAGCACAACATGTAAAACCCTCAACAGTACAAATACTCCAATAAAGATACACACAGTTTATACAGACACATTGAATACTGTTAAAAATAAACTGAAATGTTAACAGACTATGTAATGAAACGTTGTCAGGTGTGGATTGTAGACATCCAGTGTTTCGCTGGTGCAGTATTTAAAATATAAATGTGTTATTCAGATAAATATTGAGCCTTTTTTAGCTGAATTGGGTATACTACATCAGGGAAAACACAGTGCAATGTGGGGGTTCAGGACCTGGAGGCCGGATTCACGAAAGTGTCCTAAGAAAGAAAATCTTCTTAATGTTTGTTTTTTCTTAACTTCTTTTGTAATAAAAAAGTTACGAGAAATTGTTCTTAATAATAAGAACTTCTTAAGAATTATCTTACTTTCTTTTCGTAACTATATTCTTATTTTTTCTTAACTTTTTTTTAAGAATAGTTCTAAGAACAAGTGATATTCTTACAAATATTATGTTCCTTAATGTTTTCTTAACCTTGTCACAGCCTCACAGTCGTCTTAGGCTGAGTCGACAAGATGAGCATCTAATTTATTATGGACGCTGCCTCTGCTGCTCCTGCCCATCCTCGTCCGTCACCCCACAGTTATCATATTTTCCAAAGAGGATTTTTTCCTGTTGGCTGTTTCTTCCAGCGTCACCTCTAGTTCTTGTTTGCTAATTTTTTAAATGTTTGTTTTGATGTTTTTCCTTCTTTTTGGTCCTCTGAGCGGATTAAACTAAATAACGGATATAACCATTAATACAAATTCAAACTGTGTCTCACGTCTTTAATGGTACGTGGTAAAATGTAACACAGCCTACATAAGAAAACAACGAAGATTTTCTTAAGAAAGCTGTAAGAAAATAATTGAGATTATCTTAAAAGAATATTTGAGAACTTTTGAACGTCTTAGTGTTGATCTTAAGACCGTCGCAAGTTTTTTCTTAAAGAATTTGTGAGAACCACTGTAGTCAGTATTTATTCAGAGATCACTGTTCAAAGCGTGTTACAGCTCTATTACACATTTTCTCTCCTTGTTTTGCTTTGTAGGTGCAGCTGGTTGGCCTTGATGAGGAGAGCTCTGACTTTGTGTGCAGGAACACATTTGATCATCCGTATCCCACCACTAAGATCATGTGGATTCCTGACACTAAGGGGGTTTACCCAGACCTGCTGGCCACCAGCGGAGATTACCTGCGGATCTGGAGGGTATGTACACTCAGGATGGGTATCGTCAGCAGTATAAAACTCGTGTCACTATTTGTTATTTTGCAGTTGGATCACAGTATTTAACGTTTGTATCCCCACTGATCGAGTCTTTGCTGTAGCAGGTCTGTATCTCATGTGAAGCCAGATACAAAACAGGACCAGTAGAGTCTTTAGCGCCTTTATTTTTCAGTGGGATTTGTTCAGTCGTGCTTTTACCTTCATAAGTATGTGTTTGTGTTTTTGTTCAGTTAGGACTTTCTTCCAGCATCAAAACGTTGAGCCAACAACATAAGTCACAATATATTTATTTATTATTTATTATCCCTACCTGAATACGACACATAACTGCTTACTGTAACAGTATGTAACATGCAGTACATATTGTGTTTGTAGTGTTTTCGTTTAAGTCATACATTTTAAAGGATTACTTGAAATACAGAGAAATTAAGTGTTAACAGCGCTGATTGGCTGAAGGCACCGTCTTCAGCTCTGTAGTCATGACAACAACCAAGCCCCATGCTCTGCACTCATGCATGAGCAATTATGTAAACCCAGAAGTGAAAATAAAGCTTTTTCTCTTATTTTAAATAATAAAAAGCTGTTTGATTTGTACTCATATGCCCCAAACGACACTGGATAAGTTATTAGTTTGTTTTTGGAAAGGAAAAAAAAATCTTTAAGATATTTTTGAATGAAAATCTGAGGAGAAACACGCTGACAGCAGGCAGGATTTACACCTGCTAAGGCTAGCCCCAAACGCCCCCCACTCCCCCAAACAAAGGTGCCAAAGAACGAGAGCGATGCAGCAGAAGAGCCACTCTTGGTTGTGTTTGAAAAGAGAACCTACACATGATGTTAAGGTTCTATACCAATTTAAATTTTTAAGCTTTTATCTTATATGGAGGTTCTTTAAGTAGGAACTTGATCTACACTGGTTGGGGTACGGGTGTGGGTACACTCTTAAAAATAAAGGTTGTTCAGTGGGTTTTGGTGTGGACATACAGTTCAATGAAGAAACTTGAACTGGATGATCTTTACATTGTGTGGAGGTTCTTGAAATTTTAGTTCTTTAATTCTTTAAACCATCCATTGAACGGTTCTTTAGGGAATGCAAAGTGGTTCTTCTGTGGCATTGCTTCAGAGTATTCTTTTTGGCATTCTTATTTTTAAAAGTGGATAAACGCACAGATAGAAAAATCTGTTAATCGATGCGATGGTTCTGTGTATTAATGCAAAATTGTGAAAAGTAAAAGTGCAATTCAGCAACTAATTACAGTATCAACACAGCCGTAATGCACATTACATGTTCACTGCTCTTCATGTCTGACTGTCTGATTCACATACTCACTCTGTTTCAGGTGAACGACACTGAGACCCGTCTTGAATGCCTTCTGAACAACAACAAAAATTCAGACTTCTGCGCCCCTCTGACTTCTTTTGACTGGAATGAGGTCGACCCCAATCTCCTGGGTAAGACACTGTACAAGTTCACACTGTACGCTAAAAGAGTTCTCAGTAGATTTTCTAGTTAAATGTGTCTGTCTGTCTCTTTCTCTCATGTCTGAGTCTGATGTTTGTATTATATGATCCTTTAGGCACTTCCAGTATTGACACCACCTGCACCATCTGGGGTTTGGAGACAGGGCAGGTGCTGGGAAGGGTAAACCTGGTGTCTGGTCACGTCAAGACTCAGCTCATCGCACACGACAAAGAGGTGAGAGCTGGATTTGTGAGAGAGATCTCCACCACCTCCATCCCAACTTATAATAAATACTGTAAATATATGCATTTCTCCACTTTAGTTTAACCTTATTCTCCAGTACGTTCACTGCCTTAAATCGTCTTTTAAACTGGCACACTGGAGTCACTCACTCAGCCTTGAGGCCCACGTTTGAGAGAAAATGGGACATAAACATAAAGCAATTTAGGAAAGTACAGTTTAGTGCAGCCAAAATGATGTGTAATATATATATATATATATTATATATATATGTTCAAAAAGGTTCTGTGTAACATACGCATGTGTGTACCCCCTGGTATTTGTTGGGGTCCCACATTGGCTGGCAACTCCAGTGTTGGCTGGCTGGTAATGCGCTCAGTGTAGCGGCGCTGATGGCAGCGAAATGTTAGCTTTAACTGTTGTTCTTCTGGAAAAACTCTTCTAGTTTGGTGATGAATCTTCCACACATTAACTGAGATCTTACACAGCTCCTCTTCTGTTTTCAGTGTGAGAAATGAGTAACAGTTCACTCTTCCTAAAAATCTCTTGTGAAATTGGGTAAGAATTCAGATTTACAAATATGTTACTGCATGTTGTGAAGTTTCTCAGAGGTATGCTGGGCATAGACTACTGGGGACCAACTCGGTGAACTAATCTGCTACAGCGCCACCCTGAGGTAGACCAGCGCTGCAGCTCTAGTTAGTTAAGAATATCAAAGACAGAAAACAAAGATCTTTCCCTGAGTTTGTATTTCAAATGAGCAACATGACTTTACAATAATTTTATTTTCAGGGACCCCTCAGAATTATGATTTAGAGATACTCAGGGGGTCTGAGGGGTTAATACCCCCTGTATTTCACACCTTGGTGCAGGCATTTTTAGTATTAAACAGGTAAAGCCAACATCTCGACCTCACAGTGTGAGAACAGCACAGTACAGAAAGCTATTCGGATAAAAAAAAAAGTTTGAGATGCTGTTTAAAAACATTGTTTAACATATTCACTAAAATTTGGACAGCTGATTATTTTATTTAGGTAAATTTATATTTATTATTTGATTATTGTAAATATTTGTGTGCTCTAATGACTGCTAGTATTGCCACTACACGCTAACCGTCGCTGTCCAGTCAGGTTTTATTCTGCAATTTGGGTGATGATGGTCCAGTTTGAGTCAGTTTTGGGCTGACTTTTATTATTCTAGAGTCAGTTTCGGATTCAAAACATCATGAAATGGTTCGGGTCGGGTTCAGACAGATTGTTTTTGGTCTCGGGTCAAACACAGACTCAAAACGCAGTGCTGAAAATTCTCTGTATTCAGGTTCGAACCAAAATTTCAGGCCTGATTAAAATCACTAGTCACGTGAATGAATAACAATTTGGTGCAGTACTTTCTGGAAACAAGAAGACGTTATTAAGTTATAAATATGCTGTATGCATTTCATTTAGAGTAATTTTCTGTTATCTGCCCTGAAGTTCTGAAGTTTTCACTTTTCAAAATATGACATTCTGGATATTTGCTTTATTACAGCTTATTTTCCTGTTTTTTTACAACTTAGAACTCACTTTAGAATCGGCTCCGTTCATCATTCTGGTCACATCTGAAAGTTCCTATGTATGAAGTAGTAGAACATCATAGTAGAATTGTTGCACACACATCAACATTGATTTATATTATTGAAAACATTCATTCCAGACGTTTTGAACAGTCGTGTAAGTATAACGTCCGTCCATGTGATTGGCTGCAGGTTTATGACATTGCGTTCAGTCGTGCGGGTGGAGGGCGGGACATGTTTGCGTCCGTGGGAGCAGACGGCTCAGTGCGGATGTTTGACCTCCGTCACCTGGAGCACAGCACCATCATCTACGAGGACCCTCAGCACCACCCGCTGCTCCGTCTCTGCTGGAACAAACAGGACCCCAACTACCTGGCCACCATGGCCATGGACGGCATGGAGGTAACCTCAAACACGAATTCAGCCACTACGTGGCCAACGTCTGTATGGAAAAGTCTGTTCACTCCATCTTGGCATCGGCCGGGCAGTTATTTCCACTCATACAAGACCAGACTTGTATCACTAACGGGGGTCTTTTCCTGCTTACGCCTTTACTAACAAGGCGACTAATTCTTTATATTGAAGGGCCAGACTTCATGTAGTAAAGCCGCCATGTCGAGTGTCATTTTTCAGCCGGGGGACTGTCCCCTGCTTTTATAATGTTTATGATATTATAAAACATATAATCGCCACTAGAAACTATAAGAAACCACTTCCTTTGAGTGGCCTTTTTTAAATGACCACAAACACCAAGCTGTGAATAAGTAACCCAGATTCCAAGCAGTACTGCACAAAAATGAGACATCTAGGAAACATGCTAGGAAATAAGCAAACAAATGTTGATCTTTTTTCTTTAATTCTTAGTTTTTTTTATTGTTGAACAAACAGTAATTTTGTTGTTTGATGTGTTGTTTGAACCAGTGATGACCAATGCAGGAGAGTATAGAAAACATCTGATTCTCATTGCGTTAGTGTTTGTGATGTTTGTACTAATTGTTTTGTCTGTACAGAAGCAGCTAACTTTTGGTTCGGGATGCACTGATCACAGTTTTTTATGGCTGATTCTGATTTCCTTACAGATTTTTTTTAAAAAACTGATACACACATTAGCACATTTGAACCCTTGAATTTGCAGTTTTTACTCTTTTTGACAAAACCAAAACTCTTGATTTGCTGTTTTCGGCTAAAATTTCTGGTAGAGAAAATTTCAGCATTCTGCCAAGAATAGATGGGATGTTTTTGATAAAATGTAGAAGAGGAGAATCCAATGATACCAGAACCATTTGAACAAATCTGCATGAAGCTGCGTCATTTTTCTTGTTCTCACAAAGATTTGCTGTCTTTATTCCTTGTTGTTAGACGCTCGTCTCTCTCTCTGCTCATTAGTCACTGCAGCGGTAAATTATTAGTTGTCTGTATTAAACTCAGTATCTGCCCTCAGGTGGTCATTCTGGATGTGCGTGTGCCCTGCACGCCGGTGGCTCGGCTGAATAATCACCGCGCGTGTGTGAACGGCATTGCGTGGGCTCCACACTCCTCCTGCCACATCTGTACAGCAGGTAAGAGACCAGCACAGCTGTACGCACAGTACACTTCTGCTATTCATTTTATATATTACTGGAATAATAGCAGCAACTGAAAGTAGTAGTTGGTGGAAATGAAGATGGAAACAATTCTCAGTAAGTTTTCAGTTTATTACCGGGATCATGTTGAGTTTGTTAGTAAACATGTCTGTTATTGCTGGTTGCAATATGTTTTCTGATGGATAAAGAATGAATAAATGATAACTTTATCTTGGAAAGTCATAATTAAACATGAAATAAATCGTGTTGAATTGGGGGGGAAACTTTGATTTTTGCTCGGTCCTCTTTACTTGGTCCCCTCTCTTTTAATTTCCACTGTAGCGGACGATCACCAGGCACTGATCTGGGACATCCAGCAGATGCCGCGGGCCATCGAGGACCCCATCCTGGCGTACACGGCTGAGGGAGAAATCAACAACGTGCAGTGGGCGTCCACCCAGCCCGACTGGATAGCCATCTGCTATAACAACTGCTTGGAGATCCTGCGGGTTTAACAGCGAAGCTGATACTGGCCCTGACTCCGCGCACACCGAGAGCAGGGCTAGTCCCAGTGAGAGAGAACAGGAGGAGGGGGAGGAGGAGGAAGAGGAAGGAGGGAGCGGCTGGTTTCTGTGCTGTTGTAGAGGTCTCGAGGTTGCCGGAGGGTTTGGGTAGCGGAGAAGATTCTGGGGTTGAAGGGATGGGGGGTGGGGGGTTTGCGTGTGCACGCGTGAGAGGATTTGTTTATAGATGCGTGTGAATGTGTGGTTTTGCTGCATTTCATTTCTGTTTGTCCTTCATTACGTGTTGTTATTCTTGTATTAGGCTCATATTGGGGTCTTCAGTTTGCTGTGTAATTATTTCCGACAGTTTTCTATTGCGATGAAATTATGTGTAGACCTGTCAATGCAACAGACACAGCAGCATTTCCAGACCAGTGGGGGGGAAAAAACAAGTCAAAAATATGCTCTCAATGTTACTCACTGTAAGTGTACTACGTTTCAAGTAGAAAAGACTATAGTTACAAAGCAGCCAGCGTTGAGATTACCTTGGAATGATGCTTTTTTTTATTAGCTTGTGGCCAATATTTATCGTCTGAGCAAAGTTGGTAAGTAAAAATTTGCTGAAATATGCCAAAAGCTCATTTAATTTCGTCTTTCTTGCATCTCAAACATGCCAAGTTTTTGTTTCGCGAGTCCTCTGCCGTTATTCAGGTCTACTGAAGTGCATATGATTAAAAATGTGCTGCATTTGATTGACAGCTGAAACTCCAGTAACTGTGAGCATGCTAAATAGACTTGAGCTTAGAGAATAGGGAAATGCAATTTTTCATGACTATTAGTCTTTTTAATCTCTGATTATTAGGCAAAACATCTGCCTCATTTTTTTGAGGCAACTTCACTCTTTAAAGGGGAACGACAGTCATTGAGATATAAAGTCATTCAGAGTGGTTTGATTTCAGAGAAACTCATTTTTCTTTGCAGTGGTTGTGACGGGAACCCGAGGTTGTGATGTCTACGATGCAAAAACAGCCATGAATGGGTTTTAAAAAATGTTTTACATGAACAGCTCAAAACTCTTGTAAACCAATATCTCAGGCATCAGGAAATGTGTTTGTAGCAATCTCTCTTAGGTAGCTTTCTGTGAGGAAGCTTTTAAAGGCATTAAAACACTTTAGATGTTTTGGTTCCTATCATCACCACTCTAAACACTCGCTTGGAAAGTTTCTCTAGAATTAAGCATTTCACACCAAACCACTCTGAATGGCTTTGTTCATATAATAACCATTTAATTATGCCAAAATTTTGAAGAACATGTAGTGTTTCCCTTAAAGTTCAAACTGATGTTAGTGTTTGAATGACTTGAAATGGTCTTGGTGTAAAAATGACGAGCGATCTTCTGGCTCTCCTTAACCTTTTTCCCCACTTTCTTCTGTCTTATCTCACTATTTTGGTTGGCGTTCACTCCCTTTTACCGCATGTTTGTGCTCAACGTGAGAGATGTACATACATATATAAATATTATAAATAAGCTAGGGCAAACCGTTCATGTTGTGACTTTTTTCCAGAAGAAATTCGCTACAGGTCGCTTGGCTGTCCATGAAAATGTTTGGCTGTGGTTAGAAGTACATTGTAATAGTTCAGTGTTTCAGGACCCAGCTGAACATGACCGTGGAGGCTCTCGCGAGCTCATCCGGTCCTCTCTGAAAGACTGCATATGTGATTACGTGTGTGTGCCCGACCGCAATGTTTTTTCTATTAATAAACTTGCATTGTTCTTCCATAAAGCGGCTGCTGATACTTTGACATTTGGGTCTGACATGCATCATAAACGTTCCAGCATCCAGAAAGAGATGCTTCCTCACGGGAAAACTGACTATTTAGGTTCATCCATACCTCACGTTTGAGTAGTTCAAACACATTAAAGGGAAATGCCACCAATTCTTCAACATTTCTGAGATGACAGGTGTGAAATGACTCACTGTAGAGAAACATGCTGACTGATTTCTTTACAGTGGTGGTGACAGGAACCATTTTTTGCATTTTTTTTTTTCTATCCAAAGTGACCAGTGAACTGACATTGTGTCTTCTGAGTTTGTAACGTTGATGATGAAATAATCTGAAAAATAAATACTATTTTGCCTAACAACGACAACGCCTTGCATGTACGTCTCCACCTTGAATGCAACGTTTTAGGACAAAAGCTCACAATAAAACAATGATAAAACAATGTCTTCAGGAAGTGTATTCATAACAATTTGATTTCAGAACTTTCTGAGGGAGCATTAAGAGGCATTACACACTTAAGACGTCTGGTTCCTATCACCACCACTGTAAACAGTTGATCCTAGAATGGAGCATTTCACATCAAATCACAGTGTAACCATATAATTACGCAGATAAAGTAGTGTTTTCTATAATGTAGTGGGTAACACTCCTCAGTTCCCCATCTGAGCTAGAACATCACCACACTACACCTTGGGCTAGACTCCTAAACCTCATTCACCTTAACTCTGGATATGAGTGCCTGCCAAACACATAAATGTAGCTCTTATAAATGTCTTAACTGCAGTTACAGCATAAATATATAATCATCATTTTTCCTCTTAAAATCAGTAGATTTGGACAGTAGAGTCCTAATAATAAACACCTTTGTCCATTATTCAGAAAATGATCACACATACACACATATACAGTGTCAGCATGTTCTGTACTATGTGTTATAAATAATCTTTAATCTAAAAAAAAAAACAGTAATAGTTCTTTTGTGCTTTTGGAAACCTTAACAGTCCCAGAAGGTTTTCAGTTGAATTACACATACATTCACCTCCTTCACATGAGCACGAGCAGTACGCACTGATCTACACAGATCTTTCCAAAAAATCATTGACAGAAAGAGTCCATTCTGACCAATCAGGTGTTTTTTTTCCAGAAAATGCAGGAACACACTCATACACACACACACACACACATTACATTTCAGAAACAGTGAAAGTTTTTCGAACACACAAACGTCTCATGATGTGTAGCACGTCTGACGCATCCCACTATCACTCACACATACGCTTCAGCACGCCCAAGCAGAGAAGAGGCCTTCAAAATAACCGCATTTAGAGCCCTGACACACCAAGCCAACATCAAAGAACCGGCGTCAGCCAAGACCGACTGATCGTCATCGCCTCCCGTCTTCTGTAAAATTTACACTCAGACCCACCGCAGAGACCGAAGCTGACAGCCAAGACACACATACTTCTGTTGAATGGAAGCAGGCAGTGGCAGCAGTTTTCTTTTGGTGCCTCAGAATACTCAACCTAACTGCACAACTTAATGGAAGATTTCAGTTAACTTAAAAATACTACAGAAAGTAGCTATTTAAGCTGAAAACTAACTCAAATTCACTATATTCACTAGTTTAGCTGTTAGTAGTTAGTTGACTTTATGGACAAATACAAACAGGCCAGTAATGGGTTGTTTTTAAAGACTGTTCAAGATTTAGGCCTAATCCCATTTCACCCCTCGCCCGCTCTGTTTTGCACGCATAGAGATGGAGGGGTAGGTAGAAGTGTTAGGGCTACATGACCCTCCAAAGTGTCTCCAGAGTGTTAAGAGAAGAAAAGAAAAACCGTCTGCGCAAGCGACCAAAAAAAACAAGTGTGAGTATTTTTCTGTTTAGAATTACGATAACCATTGTATTATATCAGTTTAATGTCATCTCAATGTATAATGGGCCTTTTCTTCATAACAAGCATAATAAAAAAATGCTACGTGTATGCTGATGTCTCGGTAGCTAGCTAGCAAAATTTCCTTTTCCACCTTAAATGGTGTCAAAACTGCTGCACCATTCAAGGTGGAGTGGGAAAATTGAAACAAGGAGCTTCATCTTCAACCTTAGTCTTATATCACTGAACAATTAGGGGTGGACGATAAGTAATGGTCCCCATTCTTTGAAGGCATATGATTCCCTAAATGTAACTAAAGCCCAGCAGTGAGGAGCTGAACTTTACCCTCCTCTGCTATCACCGCAGTATGGCAGGGTCACCTACAGAGCAGCGCTAGTAGCTGTTAATGAAGTAATGTTCTTTTTTATTTGAGGGTCCCATTTTTATAGGTGAAGATTTCAACCACTACCCCTTGTAACTCGGTTCCAAGAGGCAAGATGACACTGGAAAACACAGGGTAGGGGTAACAATAAGAAATGGGATTGGGTCTTAGTGTGGCTACAATTGTTTTCCCCTCTTCTAGTTATATATGCACACTTGTAACAGGCGACACACTGTTTAATCCAAGTACTAGCCTAGTTTTAGCCTATTCTGAATTACCCATGTTAATGATGGTGAATAGGAGAAGCTGGTCGGAATATGTTCTAATGTTTTTGGCTAAAACATCAGTTGATTCAGTAGTTGTGCTGAGGGATTGTTGTGTATCTGACTGCATAAATGTTTACATTTAAACTCACATCATTCCTGTTTGCTCTTGGCACCATATATTTGTATACTGAGCGTGTCTTTCCACCTTGTTTAAGCTACTGTCTGTGCTGTCGTTCTCCCCAGCCCACTTTCCCTCAGGCTGTGGCGAACGACGGTACTGGTAACTCATCAAGTCTCAGTTAACACTCAGTTTGGTTTCTTAAACTCAGTGTTGAGTGAGCTGAATTACCCTATTCCCACTTGCTGCGTGTGGTTCTGTGGTGGCTGGACACTGTAGTGACTACTCACTCTGGGCTGACCGGTCAGCCTGTGCCAAGAATATCTAGAGTAGTATTAAACTGAATTGTTGAACTTGCTTTCCCTCAGGACACGATGCGGCATTTGGCCAGACAGTGTCTGATGGCCAGTGGTTTGGTGTGTCAGGGCATTCCACAGTGCACGATTCCTCGCTTTGAAATCACATGATCCACTAAATCAGACAGCTTTTCTCTTTGTGTCCATCACATCTAAAGAAGTCATTGGGTCACCTGATGTGACCACTTCAGATGTGAACTGAACGCTCCTTGAAAATATACCGTAATTGTAAAATTAAAAATTCTATACATTGAAAACACATTTCTGTAGCTGAACAACAGCTGAATAACATGAAATACAGTTAGAAAATGCCCAAGATATTTTCTTACAATAGCAATTTCTGGTGAGAATAACTTTAACAGGTCCAACACATCCCAGTTAGATTCAGAGAGGGAAGCAAATGTCCTTCGCTCAGTGAAGGTGCTGCTTTTCAGGAACAATTCCTAGAAGCTCAACAGTCTGGAGAAGCAAGAGCGGAGGGTCTACTGTAGCCAGATATTGTTTTGCCAAAGCAAAATCTCGTCATTTTGATAACCGTGAAGCTGTGCCTTGTGACACATCATGCTTCATGCAGATTTTTAAAAAATGTGAACGCTGCAATATTGTCCTGCGTTCCTTTCTGAAGAAAAGCTTTCAAAAGGGGTTCCGAACAGTGATGCTACTGGAAAAGCTCTGAAGGGAAAAGGGAGGAACGGTTCATTTCATCAGCAGATCTCCTCCTCTCTCTTCATTGAGGAGAGATATGGCACAAAATTCCTCAAAGCATTTGAAGAACGTACAGTAAATATGCACAGGTTTAACTCCATGCGCCCTGGTGCAGGAGGCAGCCGGACTCTGGCTCTTCCTCGTTTTTTACAGTCTTGGACAGGCATTTCTGGAGATCTGCCTGGTCAGATCTGTCTGGTTGCTGGCCCTCGCGCTCTTGAGAAGGTTCTGTGTTTCAGCAGATCTGCTGAGAAGTTTAATTAAAAAAAGTATCTTGTGTGTAGTCTGTTTATAATCCGCTTAAAATGTATGCCTTTGCTGCATTGCTGAAATTTAGATTTGGAAAAGGAAATGCTATGCTCCCCCAAACGTGTGACTCTTTGAAATAAGGGACGGTCCACAACTGTGTTCAACTACTTTGCTGCGACTGCACAGACGGCAGTGTTTAAAGCCATTTGTTAAAACGCAATTGATCAAACTATTTGACTGAGAATGACAAGCAGAACCTTACAGTAGGTTACAAAGAAAAGAACTGTGTTTCGTCGACCGGTCGACCTAAATGGCTACGTGCCTGCGTGGATCTACAGAGGAATGTTTTGCACTAATAAATAACATCTTCTGTAATGGCTTCGTTTACGAGAGCCAAGTTTTGTTCAGTGTTTGATTTGTGCTTTGTTCTGAGTGCAATTCGAGAAGCAAACACGCCGGCTACGCTTGCATGTGTATTTGAGCATGTCTATGTGCGTTAGTGCTGGACGTGGACTTGCCCAGGTCCATCAGTAGCAGCTTACGATTCCTTTAAACCTCTGCAGATGATGTGGGAGAAAAGAGAAGAAGGTGCAATTAGAGGAGTGCGAACTGTCCTGTGGCCAGCACCAGGCTGCTGCAGAGTGTGATGTGGGTCCACACAAAAGTCCCAGGTGTGGAGGGCCCATGAGAGGGGAAATAGAACAGACCACAGCTCACTGTGGGCTCTAGCTGCCTGGAAGGATGGGGTCAGACAGGTGCCTCTGGATCTCCGCTGCTGCATCCTGCGAGGCGCTGGGGTTTTCCAGGTGTTCAGGGAGTGATGGAAAGCGCAGGCTGCCACACAGCGGCCCAGGCGCACGGGCCTTGGCCTGGGCTTTGGCTTGGGTTTGGGCCTGGAGGTGTGGAGGGACACTCAGAGACCTAGGGGCCACTGGTTCAGTCTCTGTTTCTGGGGACATGGACATGGTGTCATCCGAGGCTATGGTCAGGTGGATGCCGCTGGACAGAGACTCACGGGACTTGTGGTTGAGGTTGTCGGAGTCGGGGCTCTGTGAGACAAGAACAGAGGTACAGAATATCAGTTAGTATTAGGTAGGTAGAGGAACTCGTGGTGAGATATAAGCATCTCATTAAAAGTCAAAAGTAAAAAGATTTTCAGCTATTTCTGTTTTAGTTTAGCATGCTGGCTGAAAGGATGAGCTGCAGTTTGAAACCCTTGGTCTGAACTGCTCAGTTTTAGGTCACTCAGGTTTTTTAATACTCTATTTTCAGGACTTGAATGTGGAGTCATACAATTACAATGGAAACAACTGAACAATATATACAATTGAAAACGCTGGTTACACCTAAATACTACCATTTTACATGTGATGAACTGCTTTGTGTCTCTTTATTTGACACAGCTAAAGACTATGTAATCTGTAATATCATATTTCACTTACAACTGACGTCATTTATTGTGTCAAAAAATCTGTTGCGGTGCTGTTTTTAGAAAATATGAATAAGATGATGTTCTATGTTTTATAAAGGAAGAATAATCCTTGTACGTTTAATTTGTCGAATTAAACATTATCTTTTTTTGCATGTTTTTGTTTCCCAAAGCATTTAATTTCCCAATTGATGAATGAATTAAAGTCATAACAGACAAACTATCAATTATGTACATTATGTAAGTACATCCACAGCGTTTTACCAGAGGAAGTTCTGTTATGTAAATCTGTAAAGCACACTGTATAGCAAATGTTAAGTGTTAATGCTCCCATATTAATTAATGTGGCTTTTCACAACACAATGTGTCATATAAAACTAATAAGCTTTTAAAATATTGTAGTTTAAGTCAAGCACAGCTTCATTCCTGACTCCTCATTGCATAACGGAGCATCAAACTGCCGGCAAACCATTCTTAGAATTTGCTGATGGTCCCTTAAACTCTAAATCTGCCACTGGAGGAATTATGGCGTGGGTATGTTCACGTTGACCAGAGTGAAACGCATCAGCATGCAAAATCAGAGCTGTGTGCTACTGTGTTTTCTATCACTGTATAAAAGATGCCCAAAGCTTCCATAAGGCTTTCTTGTTGAAAGCACTGTGATTTTCAAGTGAACAAGCTCATTAACAGAGCAATCCAGATCTCACACACACACAAACGTTTTCTAAGCCGTTTATCCTTCTGGGTCAGGAAGGAAACACATTGCATATCTAATTGACCTGGCCGGATGTCTTTGCCCTATGGGAGTGTGATTTGTGTGTGCAAACACACTCACTTTGGTAGATGAGTGGAGGCTGTCGTTGATCTTTACAGTAGGTGGGATGGGCGCAGGGCTGTGGAGGACCGGACCCCCTGTCCCGTAAAGGCTGGAGGGTGGAAGGGGATGGGCAGGAGTAGACACTGCGCTGTAGGCTGGGGGCACTGGAGCCATCTGCCTCTGGAGCAGCTGCAGAATCACATTAATGTCAGCCGTCATCCGCGTCTCCAACCTACAGAAAGAGAGAGAAAATGAAAGACATTAACTACTCTAAATAATTCAGTAACTGCTATAAACTATTCAGTAACGGCTATAAATGATCCAATAACTACTATAAACTACTATAAACTGTGAAACTAATATGTAAGTTCTGCAGTTCTAAGGAGTGAGTGAGTGTGGAATTAAAGTGTAGACCCACATACAGGCCCTTTTTTAAGGAGTCCCTTCAGTGTGCTGTGTTCTGGGTTCTGACCTGTTTAGCTGAGACTGGAGCAGCTCCAGTCGTGCCTGCAGCTCGCTTGGTCTCTCCTCCAAACACACACTGCAGTGGTGGTGGCAGATGCGTGCTGACGACGAGCGCCTCGGACTCTCCGAAAACTGACTCGGCCTGCGCTCGGGCCAGTAACCATATACATTCAGAGAACCTATGTGACAAAGACATAGAGGAAAGAGTGGTGCGTATGAAAAGTGAAACAATGGTAAACAAATTTTTTATTGGCAAATTTTGTTAATTTAACTAACGGTAACATTTTCTGACACATCTGGTATCTGAGGTTTGCTGCTTTAGTTTTGCTCATGTACACTTAAAAAAGATTGTGAAGCTTGTAACAATAGAAGAACCCTTTGTTGTGCTATATATAACTATTTTCAAAAAGTTCTATGTAGAACCATACATTCTCCATCTGAAGAACCATTTCACCATGCAAAGAACCATTTAAGCATGGTCCTATATAGAACTCATAGTTCTAAACAGAGCCATTCCCTTTACTAAGAACTCTTGAAGAACCATCTATTTAAAGAGTGCAGCTAAAACTATTAGAGCTCATTGCAATTAGCAATAGCCATATTGCAATAGCAATTTAACAGCATGGCTATTAGCATGCCTAAACCATCAAACACTTATCCATAAAAGAAACCCCATAAACAAGTCTGTTTGAGATTACTGAACCACTTGATAGTTTGAGGAAAGTGTGCAATGATGTAGTCTTGCAGTTTGCATGCTGCTGGCGGTCATAAGCTTCCATTACTCTTTAGCTACATTAGCACAGCTGCAAAAATATGTCTTAGCTGACTGGCTGCATTTGGGGTGAGTTGAAAATTGTAATTTTTTTTTTTGCTTGACTGTTCCATCATCAGATTTTCTGTGACGTCTTTCTTTCTGTACCTGAGTAGGGATGTGCTCCCCGCTCCAGGGGTGCCCCCATGCCTGCTGGGGAGTTGTTGGGGGGAAGGAGGCTGACCACCGTTGGTGGGTAGTCCCGCACTTCTGGACGGTACATGTCTCCCCGGCCGGGCCCTGGGGGTTTGACTTCATCTTCGCTTGACAAGGAGCCAGCGCTGGCACTGCTGCACAACTCATCCCACTGAGAGCTTGACAGCGCCCCCCTGTGGTTCCCCATGGAGGCGCATGACTGGTCTGGATATGCGTCTTCCCTATCCATCCCATCTGAACAGAGCAAATGAGCAGAGATCAAAGATCCATAAGCAGACCATGCATGGAAGCCAATAAAACATAATGTATGTATGTAAGTGACTCCACATCTTGCACACTTAATGATTCCATGCCGAACTATTCGTAATCTGTCCACGGCACTGCACATGTGCTGGTCTGACAATCACAGATGCACACAGATGTACCTGGTCGGTTGCGCCGGAGGGAGTGTCTCCTGCGTCTGGCTCGACGGTAGCCGCAGTCTGACTCCTCACTGGGGGTTGGCTGCATTATTCTGTCTGCCTGATACACACAAGCTTCAGTAACTTACATAACCACTAATTACAAACACACAGACCCAACACCACCGTACTACCATATATTTTTCATATATATTTTTTAAATCATTTTAAAATAGCAGCTGTCTTAAACATTGTGTAAACATGTCATGAGGAACGGACCAACAGAATGAAATTCCAAAATGGAAAAAAATCTTGAAATGTCCTTGAAATTTCCTTATACTATAAAGTTACCAGCTATACAGGATTTTCTTATGACTGCAATGTTGTGTTACCTTCTACACACAAAGAATGAGTGTAAGCTTTATTTTGCGTCATGCCAAAGAACACCCTTCCCTGTGATAAAATCGCACTAACCCACAGCCTCTCGTGGCTTATTGCTTTATTATTTTATTTTAGTCTAAAACACTTATTGATATATACTGATAGATGCTGGATGTACTAAGAGGTTCCACTGCAGTTCTATAATTTAGTTCACAGTTGCCTGAGATGCTGCTTTTATACTTTTATTCCAGTTGTTTTTCAAAACACTTTTTTCTTGAGTCATTATTTCACTGCAGTAACAACAGTTTTACATGAATATTGGTTTAGGCTACTCTACACACTGTATATCAAACCCCAGTGGCAGCTGGTATTAACCCTTAAAAGATTAAAGTAATTGGCATCAGTTTATAGCTATTCCAATGTAATTACATAAATACGTAATTCATTCCAAAGTCAGTTACGTAAATGCGGCCATCATCGCAGCCCGGGAGCAGTAGGTTTTTTTTTTTGCTAAATCAGTGTACCAAACAAACAATAACTTATTATCAAATTCAAATTCTAAAAAAATCTCCTACTTACAAACACTCATGTCATATGGGCTGAAATTTTAGATATTTCTCTGCTTGTTTTCATGAAATATGAGTGATGAACAGTTAATATCAAACTACATGCTTTTTTCATTAACGATAACTGAACAGTTTCATTACTTGGAACAGTTTTCGATACAGCCAGTTTTTTAAAAAGAATAACAGTTGATGCAGAACACTCAGCGTGTGACTTACATCTCGGAGGTTGAAGGTGATCTCCAGGTTGGTCCAGAAGCTGTCGGAGAAGTCCGGGTACATGTCCAGCACCTCCAGTAGGTCATCCCGCAGGATCTTGTGCAGGTCACAGTAGGTCAGGGCCCTCACGTCTGCATTCGACTTCCCAGGCCTGGCGTACAGACTGATGGGCTCCCCGAAGATATCGTTCTTACCTGGTCAGAGAGAAGAGAAAGAGCACAGAACAGAAAGAGAGACGACTATGAAAAAGCACACTCATTTTGTTCAAAGCTACATTCACATTATATATTTCTATTTTTTCTCATCACAATTTCTTGCTCAATTTCACTTTTTCTCAAAGCCATCTTGTTTCCTATTTGTGTTTGTAAGTGACCAATGTCTGTTATTAGGTTAAACCAAGATTATCTTCAATTAAAACTGTTATTAAAATAAAAATTAGCAGTGCACTGCTAGCATTGTAACTGATATTAAAAAAAGATAGTTTTGAAAGACATAAACTGTTTCTAGTCTACAAGTGGCTTCCTTAAACATGTAGGAGACAGCACTGTCATTTTAGCAACGTAGCTAAAGTTTAGTCTTCTGTTGTGTTAATATAGCAGTGACAAACTCATCAGAAGGAAACGAGAGAATCGAGAGAATTGCACCCAAGTTTCGGTTAATGGGTGAGATGGGTGGTGCAAAAAGGAAACCCTTTCATTCTAATCTTGCAGTTTTCACATATGACACTGACTCAGATCTGATCTGAAGACAAAACACTGTATATGCACTACTACATCCTTGTAATGTGAACACAACCTTAAACAAGTGCTGCTAAAGAACACTCTCAGTAAACACTAGATGGCACTACATAGGTTTAGACATGGAGATGCATCCAGGCACGGGAACAATCAGATTGTTTGGCCTAAAGATAATCGATATGGCATGATCAATAAGACACAAGTACACAGAGTCACTCTGGCTTATCAGAGCAGACTAGAGAGGGGAAAGAAAGAATCAGATGAAAATGGACAAAAGGACAAACACAGATAACCAGGCTTCCAGAGAGTGACAAAGACAAAGAGAGCGTAAGTGGTACACAAACTCGATTACAAAATGTAATGATTATAATGCAAAAAACTGAGGAGATACAAAAAGCAAAGGAAATGAGAGGCAAAAGGAGACAAATAAAACAAACTTAAAGTGATGGTTTAGCAAAAAAACTCTAATTTATACAAACTTTTCCTTACTCCAAATGTAGCTGATCAGATGTTTGGTGTCTGAAGTTTGCTTCTTCAGCTTAGCACTGGAGCTATGAAACTAATATAGCTAAAAAGCAACGAAAGCTTATACTCATCTGGTAGCATTATGCAAACTGCAAGGCTAAATTATTACACCCTTGACTTAAACCGTATAGAGCTCCTTAAACGATATCAAGCACCATGACCTGCAACATGAAGGAGATCTTTAAAGTGCTGCATCACTTTAAGAAGTAACTGAAAAATAGGTAATTACTACACACAGTCATCAGCAAACATTTAAACACCCCCAGTCAGATTACGTTTTGTTGAAAATATGGCACTTTTCTACAAAATGTTACCACGAAATATATTAGATGGGTTTAACATGAGAAAAAAAACCTTATAAAATATAAAAAAACCTTACCAATATAAAATGTGCCATACGTTTTGCACAGGCCACATTTTATGTTTCCCCAATATGTTAAATACAGCAAATACACAGCAAATGTGCATTAAAATGTGCAGATGTGTGTTCCCTGTAGAGAATGTGTTAACTTCCTATTTCAACAATGTGTCAACTTCCTAAAATCAACAAAACACCTCATTTGACCAGGGAAGCCCAAACATTTGCACAAAATTACATCTAAAGCAGAGCGAGTTCATTTATACAGCACCTTTCCTACACTGCAATCATTCACAGTGCTTTATAAATGAGAAAACACGAAGATAATTCAAATTAAAATTTAAAAAGATGCAGGAGAACAGAAATAGATAGATTAAAAAATTGATTTACAAGAGAAGAAATTAAACATAAAATTAAAAATATAAACAAAGGGGGGCTCCCGAGTGGTGCAACTGTCTAAGCGTTGGCCCTATCATCAGGAGATCGCGAGTTCGATCCCTGGTGATGCTACAGCCATCCGCAGCCGGGAGTCCTAGAGAGCACAATTGGCCTTGCTCTCTCTGGGTGGGCAGGATGGCCCCCCTCTCCTCCCATCACCCAACGCGATGCTAGTCACCGCAGGCGTCTGTTAGGTGATGTAACAGATCTGGCGGTTGGCGTTTTCCTCCAAGAGTGCTCAGCTGTCCAATGACGTTGCGTGAGCTGCAGTTCGAAAAGATGCGGTAGTGCTTCACAGGTCTTGTAAGAAGCCTGTGTTAGCCTTCACCCTCCTGATAGTATTGTGTGATTGGGGGAGTCCTAACTAATGGGTGGAATTGGAGACGACTAAATTGGGGAGAAAACTGGGTAAAAATATATATATATATATATATAGTTAAAAATTAAAATAATAAGGTGCCGTTACAGGAGAGAAGTGCAGTAGAGCTAACAGTGTTTTAAACTGAGCTGAAAGCTACTCAAATAGGAACATTTTCAGCCTGGATTTAAAAGTGTCCAGTGTCTTCTAATGCTCTCTGTCAACTGGTCCAATTTGTTTATCCATTCATAGACCAGTAATAGTATCTTAAAGTCTATTCTGTAACATGCTGGTAGCCAGTGTAAGGATTTAAGAATGAGGGTGATCTGTTGCGTTCTTTTACTCCTAGTAAGTTGTTTGTCTTTTTTGGGAGTCCAGTAAGGAGACCTTTACAGTAATCAACTCTGCTAGAGGCTTGAATTGGTTTCTCCAGGTCTGGTTTAGTCAGAAAATCTCTGATCTTGTTGATGTTCTTAAGGTGATAAAATGCTGATTTAGTAAGTGCTTTGAGATGACTACTAAAACTACGATCCATTAGTACACCAAGGTTACGGACTAGTTCTTTAGATTTTAGGGCTCTCGAATCCAGATAAGCAGCTAGTCTGTGCCTCATATTGCTATTCCAAATAAAATAATCTCTGCTTTATCTTTATTCAACTGCAGAAAGTTTTGTCCCATCCGGTTAGTGATGTGCTTAAGGCACTTATGAAGTGAGTCAAGGGGACCAAGTCAAGGGGATCTGCATAGCTGTGGCAAGATATCCCATAGTCTTGTAGTATGTGACCAAGAGGCAGCATGTATAATTTAAATAAAAGTGGCCCAAGAATTGAACCCCGGGGGACACCACAGGTCACTGGCACTCTTAAAGGAACCTTATTTTTGACAACGTAGTCCCTTCCTTGCAGGTATGAACTGAAGCATTTTAGGACAGTTCCCAAGAGTCCAACCCAGTTCTCAAGTATATCTATGAGAATTTTATGGTCAGTGGTATCAAAGGCAGCACTGAGATCAAGCAGCAATAGAACAGATGTTTTTTTCCACAGTCTTTATTTAAACTAATGTCTTTAATAACCTTGATAAGAGCCGTTTCAGTACTGTGATCAAGTCGGAATCCTGACTGAAATTTGTCTAGACAGCTATTTAAGGACAGAAAGCCAATAGGTTGTTTGGAGATGATCTTCTCAATGATTCTTCCAGAAAAAGGTAGATTTGAAGTAGGTCTGTAATCACTTAATAGAGTTGCTTCTAGATTTTTCTTTTTTAAGACAGACTTCACAACTGCAGTTCCTAAAACTGATATGGGAAGCCACTTTTACCTAAAATGGCGACCACCACGTCCTCTCTGAGGATCTCAATAGAGCCGCGGGAGATGAAATAGAGGGCAGTGAGCACGTCCCCGCTGTGCACTAGGGTGTCCCCTGGTGGGGCGTGCGTGGTTTTAAAGCGCATGGCCAGAGCTCGTAAACAACCTTTACTGGCCCCACGGAACGCCTTACAGTTCTGCAGCAGATTCCGATTTAGATGCAGACAGATATCAGCTTGCAGACACTCAGGAAAACCCTTCAGTACCTGGACAGAGATACAGAGAGTAAGAGAGAGATGGACAGGAAAACAGACAGTAAGGAAGGAGATAAGAGACATCATTAATAACATCAATTGAGAGGTAAAATAAAATAAAATGTAAATTAATAAAATAGAAAAATGAAAAAATAAGAAACTAAATTAAACAAGGCTTTAAAAATTAATTACAAATAGAAATTAATTAAGTGATTTTATTCCGATTATTCAAGTTTTGGTGTTTTAAAGACTTTTTTTAACTTTTTTTTTTTTTGATTGTCTTAATGCTGGAACACGGAGACGGTGACAAAAAATGGGTTTACTAGGGTTGCCAGATACAAGTTTCTAGTCATGGATGTGCAAATTATAAGCAATGTGTTTGCATTTAAAAGTTTAAAGTCATTCTTTTTAGACGTACATTTACAGTACTCTGATAAAAGATGTTGATGATTAAAATGTGGTAGGTGGTTGCACACAAATAAAATATATAAACACAAGCCTTGCCAAAACAAGCAAATTTAAATAAAGCAAGAGTGTTGATGTCATACACTTCGTCTGCAACCACCTTTTTTTAGTTATGTAAATTCAAGGTACCATTTTTTTCATTGTAAATGACTGTCTACTGAGTTGCTTTACTTTTAAAGTTGTGTAAAAATACTGGAGATACTGTATTTTAATTGCACCTTATTACAGTAAGTGTACTACAGAATACAGCTACATCACAGTAATCTCCAGATGAACTGCAAACAGTTCATATTTTACCATTTTTTTGTGTGTATGGTACCGCAAGTTACTGCAAAAGTGTGCTGTGATTTATAAAAATGGTACGCTACATAACTGAAAACAGTAATGTCACACTGAAGCCAGAATTTTGTCTGTACTTTTGTTCTCATTACCTTATCGCTTGCACATTGGTCTGCTCTATGAGCTGGAGCGTCCTGGAACGCATACCACAAAGGAACAGTGTGAAACTCACAGCGTTCATGTCAATGCCGTTGGTGTACGACCAGGCGTGCTGGAAGTACTCCTCCAGCCTCTGCCGCAGGCCTCCAGGGATCTGGTGGAAGCGGATGAACTCCTTTACCCTCAGCATCTGTGTGTGGTAGCGTGCAGTGCCGGAATACAAGCGCTGGATTATAGCAGACACATTCCCAAAGATACTGGCATACATTAGGGCTGGGAAAGAAAGAGAAATAAAAAATTATACAGTGAGATTCCACTGTGAGTCAGTCGTTCACAGTTCCAGTCCCAGAAGTCCTGCATTCTCTTCACTGTAACCCAACTGATACAGGTCATGTACTCGCTGATTAACATATGAGCTGACAGCTGTGCTAGAGCAAGAAAACACAAAAGAATGTAGCGCATGGGGCCGGAAATGAAGAGTAAAACATAAGGCAACTATGAAATGTCCACTTCCCCAAAATGTACTCAATCAGCCAAAACACGAATGTTGTCTGCAGTTTGTTTTTTGTGTTTGTTTTGGAGTGAAGGAAAAAACTAATAGCTAATAATTAACAAGTAATGGAGGCTAATACTCAATTCCTGAGAAGCAGAAAATGCAACCAACTTCTTAGACTGAACTTTGAAAAACTGAAAGTAAGACTCCTGAAAAGAATGCAAACTGCAATAAAGGCCACACATAAATAATGGACATTTTGTTATTTCATTTAGTTGTTGAGGCTTCTGTGTAGTTTTCTGTTAAATGTTTTCTGCTTTTTTTCCTTAAGCTGAAAAATTAATAACCTGCCTATAAATAAATGTAGGGTGGTCTCCGACTTTTGCACAGTACTATATATGTATTTTTTAATCATTAAAATAAAACAGTGCTAAATCTGAATAAATATGCTTCCTTTGGTTTACAGCACTCTGAATGCTATTGTAAAACAATACCTCAGGCATCAGGCAGCATATTCATTATCATTTCATATAATACCTTCCTGTGACGTTTTAACCCTTGTGTGGTGTTGATGTGTTTGTTACTCAGTGGTCTGGTGGACCCACCGCATTACTGATTTTTTAAATCAATACAGCCATAACAATTTATGTAAAAATACCAGATGTTTAAAATATCACAAGTGGCCAGCACAGTGTTCTCCTTTAGCAGCTGTAGCCAGTCAGCAGCCTGTCCGTGTTGCCCACCCTTACACACACACACACACATATACAAACACATACACACACAGATAAACACACACTAGCAGCAGGCCATGTAGGAGGAGAACAGAGTGAAGGGACACAGCACCTCTACACTTTTACTCCCCGCCGGTTCACCCCAACACCACATGTAATATAAATATGTAGGGGGTTTATAGTGTGAAGACAATGAAAATGTGTTATTTTATATGTTCTTCACAGAAAATGAGCAAAAGCTTAGGACCCTGAGGTTGAAATAATAATAAATCACATCATTTTTTCTGTTGGTAAACATTGAAAATGGGTCCCACAGACCCCAACACCACACAAGGGTTAAGATGCTGTGCTCAGTGTTTGCACAATCAGGTTTGAAACCCAGGGTAAAGGTACATTCCTGCTCTAAACTGTTGATATGTAAATGAAGGATAAGCGATGAAATTAGAAACTGAGAGTGTCACTCACAGCCAATAAGCATGACGCAGATAGAGAAGATTTTCTCGGGGTTGGTGTTAGGGGAGACGTTGCCGAAGCCGACGCTGGTCAGGCTGCTGAAGGTGAAGTACAGCGCTGTAACGTATTTGTCCTTGATGGAGGGTCCTGAGTTGGAGTCACTGTCATTGTACTGCTTGCCGATTTGGTCGGCCAGGTTGTCCAGCCAGCCGATCTTCATGCCGCCGACGCGGGCGGAGCCAGTGCGCTCTACATTGCCGATGGCGTACCAGATGCAGGCCAGCCAGTGGGCAATGAGGGCGAAGGTGCACATGAGGAGGAAGAGGACAGCTGCTCCGTACTCAGAGTAGCGGTCCAGCTTCCGCGCCACACGCACCAACCGCAGCAGCCGCGCAGTCTTCAGCAGGCCAATCAGAGTGGTGGTTTGAGGCTGAAGGGAGGGTTTAACAGAGGATTAGCCAATAGGGGGAGTTTCAATTCTTCACTCTCAGAACTAAGAGATTAGTTTCCTAGTAGTTACTAAATGCTTTACAGTAGTTACAGTAATTATAATAATTCATAGCAGTGAGTGAATATAGTAGTACCTAAATAATTAAGTAGTAGTAAATAAGTACTTAAATACTTTTAAAATGATTAGTGAATACTTTAGAACAGTTACTGCATAAAGTTGCTAAATAATTTATAGCAGTTAGTGAATACTTCATAGTACTGAATAATCCATAGCAGTAACTGATACTTTATAGTAGTTACTGATTGTTACTCAATTATTTATATTTACAGTAGTTACTCAATACTTTATTGTAGTCATTGAATGATAAGTCTTAAGATTAAGACTAATAGTAAGTCTTAAGATTAAGACTACAATAGCAACCCTGCAGTTTAAGGAATTACCAGGCACTTTTAAAATTGTAATAGAATTTTAGTTTTTTATCACTACTATTTTGGAATTTAAAACAAGTGAGAAATCCCAACACTGAAAGTCCTCAGCGTTTTCCTTTATATAACATGCTTGATTTATCTTGCCCAGGTGCTTTTTAGTTAAGCTGGGAGTGCTGGACATGGTGAACACTAAACTACACTTCTGTGATTCTTCAGGACCTTAGCTGACACCTCCAAGACCTGGGTTTAAGTGTTTTGTGCAAGCAGTTATACCTAGAAAGCTTTCGCTCTTCAGGAAACTCGCAGTTGTAGTAAATCACTCATCCATTGAAATGACAGCTGTGGCCAAATAACAGCCTGTGAGTAATAAATTGCTCGTAATATAGGGTGATTTGTTAAAAACACCAAACCTATTCTTTAAGGTTTAAAACGGCACAAAACAGATATGGCTTGGCAAATTATGCATGTTTTACACTTTTAATTTTCACACAGAACATAAACCATACCATCATTAGCAGTAAACCATCCTTAAAGATTACAAAACAACACATATCGCGTTAGAAACTAGAAATTGATATTCATGTTTAGTTTAATTACACACCCTACTTATCATTTCCGTCTCCCATAACAGCTAACCTTACAGAGACTCTGTTTGCCCATTCAGAATAGCCTGGGTTGACACCTCTAGAGTCTATAAAGTCAATACTGCACCACACACAGGTCAAAACCACACTCAGAAAAAAGCTCTATCGCCTCTACTATCAACACACAAAGCTAGCAGATGTCATACAGAACTGAGACAGTTTTGAAATTTAGCTACTGCAACTATTTATACATCTACAGTTCTGTGTAAAAATCAGAGACTGCCCTTCATTTATTTAGGTTAAAACCACCACTAAATACAAGTTATTAATTTTTTTCAGGAGACATTTCTAGGGAGATTAGGTATAAAATGACCCACTGGCATAACGAGGGGGAACTCAACGGAAACTAAGTGAAAAACAGTAGTTTCCAAAACTGAAGTTAAATGATTAAAAGATACAGAGAAAGTGGGCCTCCTAACAACCTCCTGGAAGACCTGTTAGTCCACCAAAACTGCCCCATGAGATAAACAGCACTTATATCTTTCATCTTTGAGAGAGAGGAGAAAATCAAGCTGCTTCAGATCTGAAAACATCCACAGGTGTTTCTGTCCATCCTTCCACTGTGAGAAGACGACTCAGCGCTATGAGTCTGAAAGGATGAGTAGCCGACAAGAAACCGAGAAAAGGAGACGGACACATCAAACAAAGAAGCTAAACAATGGACTGACCACCCCAGGGTCCAGACCTCAACATAACTGAATGGGTTTGGGATTATTTGGATCATGAAAAAAACAACCAATTTCTAACACTGAACTTTGGAGGCGAGTCTCCTGAAAAGAATAGAAGCTGTAATACAGGCAAAGTATCGACACTTTACTGGGTAAAAATATCCCTTACTGATATTATAATTAGTTGTTGAGCCTTACATATAGTTTCTGCGAAATATATGTCTTCTTTTTTCCCCAATGCTGAAAAATGAGTGACTTGCACTTAATGGTTGTACTGACTTGGTGGTCTCTGACTTTTGCACAGCACTGTATGTTAAAATATACATTTTAATCTACATTTTAGTATATTATTATCTTGTATAAAATATTATATCTTTATGGACCTCTGAAATTCTGTAGTCGACGTCACTCCAGGTCCAAGCAGGTTTTCTCTATGGGTAAAATGAATGGCATACGTTCTGTCCTACACAGAAAAGCTGTTTATTTTTCCCATAGAGAAAGACTGCTTAGACTCAAAGCTCCTAATGTGGCCATGACGCCAGCTCCAGAATAAAGACACGACTCAATTTCATTTTCTTTTTACATTCTTTTCATGCACTTTTTTTCAATTCTTTGTTTTTACATTGTTTATAAACTGTATAAGACTTTTTAAAGCTATTTTTGGTACTTCTAATAATCTCTTTCTTTCTCTTTTCCTTTCACTACTCTCAGGACATGTAATTGTCTGCTTCTCTCACCTCGTCTGATCCTGATCTGAAGATGAGCAGGTCGAAGGGGATGGCTGCTACGATGTCGATAAGGAACCAGCCTTTGAAGTAGTGCTGGGCTATCCGCGCCGGGTGGCTCACCACCTCGTCGTTGTGGTTCACGTACGTGGTGCGGAAGTTGATGATGATGTCAATGATGAACATAACGTCCACCACCAGGTCCACCACGTTGAGCGGGTTGCAAGTGTAGCCGCAGGTGCGCCGGCTCTCCTCCTCTTGCTCGTTGAGCAGGAAGGCAGCGCTGTAGGGCGTGAAGACGGCCGTGTAGAGCACCAGCAGCAGGATCACCCAGTCCCACACTGCCTTAAACGGGCTGTAGTGCAGGATGGTCCACTTATGGATGCGCGGTGCCTGGAGCTTGTACTCGGGAAGCACGTCAGCCCCCAGAGACAGCACCTGCACAGGGGGGGTGATGGGAATACAAGATCAGGGTATAAATATACTACAGACCAAACAACTAGAAGAAACACTGACTTTGTAAAAATAAGCGAGAGGTACTAGAAAGTGATTTGTTTATGTAAGTGATTTGTTTTCTAACAGTAAATTAGCACTAAGTTAACCTGTTCATATTAAAAATGTTTTGGCCTTTCTAAATTAAACAGACATTTCAATTGCTTGTTGCAGACATTCTATTTTGTATGTGAAGCTTGTTGCAGACATTCACACATATTTAACCTTGTTGCAGTTTTACAGTGACTCTCTCAGTAAAGCGTCCTGAAATAGAGCTGCTACTGCGTTCTATTTCGACCATCTGACTGAAACCTGGTTAGACTACTGCTTGTATTCACAGCCAGTGAACTTCCAGAAGACCTAGAGTGATCTTTTTTCTCACAAAAAATCCCACCAATTGTACATCAGAACCTGATTGGTTGTTTTTTCTCAGTTCTTAATTATGTTAATGGTCAGCTCCTTAAAATCCCAGGCTTATTACACACTCAGGCTCATTATTCAGTAACTACAGGGACTTCAATGCAAACCGGCTGAGCTATTTTTAAAAGCGTGTAACAAAACTTCAGGCCTGCTGGCGAGCCCTGGCCATGTAAGGTTAATCTGATATGTTAGGCCTTCAGTCCAGCTCCTGAAGTCTTAGGGTGTTTTCACACTTGGGCCGTTTCAGCGTCTGAAGTGGACTCAGACCGCTGAGTCATGGTTTCTTTTGCATATGTGAACACGCCAAACAAACTCAGACCCCCCTAAACGGCCCCAGTCCGTGAAGACCTCGATGCTCGCCATACACACAGCCACAGTCTTCAGCACTTCAGCAGGTAAACAGACCATGGATCATTTATACGGTTCTACTCAGGATAAAGTCTGTCCGTGATCTGCGACAGACAGCAGCGCTGACTTATTAAAGCGATCAGATGCGAGAGCTCGCGTGATTATACTGTGTTAAAGGCTCGAGCTGGGCACGCAACGCAATTCTCAGCGGCCCACTTGGCGAGCGCTGTGCACACCTTGAGTGCTGTGAAAGGGGTCCGAGTTCTAATGGAGCTATGGTCTGAACAAGAAGTGGTCTGAGATCTCAATGGACCAGAAAGAAGACCTCTCTATAGTTCACTTACATTGTGAACACAAAAAGAACTGCACTTGCAGTTGGTTCCCTTCCAGGTTCACTTTAACAGAACTCGGTTCGGTTCTTTAAAAACGAACTATATGTGAAAACACTGTTAACCAGTGGAAGCCTGTAGCTAGATACCACAGAGAAAAAAATCTGATTGGATCATTTTCTGTTGAAGAATTTAACATTGTTTTGTTACCAACCAAACGTTTATGAATTAAGAGCGATACTATGATACTTGCAGAGTTGATCCCCTTAAAATACCAGGCTTTTTACATACTAATGCTGATTATTCAGTAACTACAGGGACTTTAATGCAAACTGGTTGAGCTATTCTTAGATTATAGAAGTGCGTAATAAAACTTCAGCCCTGCGTGTGGGACCTGGCCATTTAAGGGGTTAAATACAACAAGCATTAGGATTATATTAAATAAAAAAATTAAATATTAAAAAAATCATTAAAAATGTACAAACTTTTTTTTCAAGGAAATCATTAGGCTTAGGGGGCCCTGGGGATTCCCCATTGCTGCCATGGTGTTACAGACTTGGTTTTTGCTTAGCTTACACAACATGCTGGTGCACACCACAACAAACCACTTGATGGAAATTGTGTAAACACTGTGGTTTAAGTGGCACGTGTCTGCTCAATATAATATTTCCTTGTGGAGCAAACTAGTTGTGAAAGAAAAGCATAAATGTGGATGGAAAACATTTTTTTATGAAAACCGCACCTTCAAATGTTTCTGTATTTGCTTAGATCAGTGAAATATTCATTTTCACATACTGATTAGACGGTTAATGAGCTCTTGCAGAGTTTTATTGCAGCTCTACTCAGATTCACCTGATCTTCCCATTCAGATGCTCCTGAATTCATCAACCTTTTGCTAGAGTACATAATTTTGCTTGCAACTCACACATTTAGTAACAAGGCTTTGAAAACTTTTTTTACAATGTAAAAGCTTTCAATTAGAATATGCAAATTATTTGAAACAAATAACATGTTCGGTAATCAACTGAAAAGCCTGCCTCACCATCTAGGCTAGTGTTTTCCACCTCCACTCCTGGAGGCCCACAAGACCTCACTGCATAAGCACAAAAATACCCACATTCAAATGCAAAAACCTAGAAAAAGCTAACAAAAGACTTACAAAAGCTAACAGTTGTTCAGTTTTCATCTCTTACAATCACTTTAAAGCCCATGTGTCAAACATGAGGCCCACGGGCCAAGTCAGGCCTGTGATGCAGTCCTATTCGGCCTGCAAAATTATTTTAATTTTCTATTATTATTAGCCTGTTTTGCCCTGAGATGCACTATAGTCCCCAGCATGCACTGCAACACAGTGCGCGTCCTGACCACCTTCCCCCAGCAACAATCTACTGGCCAGCAGTTACACAAAAAGAGATGATGCCTGGGGTCTAGTTCAAGCAAATAAGCAGCTTTAAAAAAATTTAGAATTATAATGAGTAAGCATTCGGTGCCTATTTTGCCTGTCGCAGTTTTGGCATATTTTGAATAAACAATGGCCAGTTCGGGTCATGGCGAAATGTTAAAAATGAAATAAAAACACAGCTGGCCCACAGATTTGCTGAGATTTTTTTAATATGGCCCTTTTAGTGGTTGAGTTTGACACCCCTGCTCTAAAGGGAACCTTACACAGTATTGCAATTATTAACTGGACAGGAAATACATTTACATTAAAGAAACCTACTATTTCTTTTTCAACTGTACTTTCAAAAGGATCTGAAGCACCCAGTAAATGCCATATGTCAAGCCCTTGATATCATGAGTAAAACGAAAAAAAAAAAGAGTGAAAAAATATATAAAAAAACCAAACAGTTGGCAACAGCTACAATGCTACTTTATATCACAGATTTTAGATCATGTCATGGGTATAATGTTCATAATTCACATAGTTCACAATGCATGAGTATATGACTGTATATCACTATAAGCAATACATTGTCAAGCCCTACTGCACTCAATCCAACAGCTGAATCATAAGCTTGTCCTTGAATATCCCCCATTTAGTGCCTCTGGAATGGCCTGCCTCTCTAAGACGTTTCCAAATTGGCACCTTTTCGAGATTCTTTACTCAGATTTGAACCATTACACAGGGTCTCCAGTCACAGAGTCCCCATTCAAACTGTAAGTCCAACAGTCACGCAGACAAGATCAACAGGCGAGATGAAACCATACAGGAGAGGGGGTCTGAGGAGATGTTCACTTTAAGAGGACAGAACACAAACTGAGCATGAATCATTACTAAATGTACTTCGGCTATTCTTAGAATTGAAAATAGATACAAAGAACAAATCAGCACAGGAAACGCTACAGTACGCAGACGTGAATGAAGAAATGTCTTTAAGAGACAGCTGAATCGAGGTGAAATAAGGTTAATACCTATGTCTGAATATTTTCAGGTAATTTCAGTCAATCAGTAACGATGTTTTTTGTCTTTTTTAACTGACAGGTTGATGCCATATGGCATTCTCAATTAGCATTCAGGGGTTAGCAAACCTTGTAATCTCCCACTACCATATTCTATTACAACACAAATGAAGCTGCCAATCCTGTCCTCCTCCTACCACTGGCTAGAAACCACCAGAACGATGCATGTTTATTTTCGCAATGCAGGCAGGACAAACTAATTGTGCAAATGTTGCACATTAGAAATGTACTTTACTGTCGAAGAATGAAAAAGGCGCAAACTAAAGGCACCCTTTAATTTTTTAAATTTCTAATCAGAAGAACAAATTATTAATTTTTTAGTGTCAAAAAAAGTGTAAAGCACATATTAAACAGAAAATTACACAAAAGCCTCAGCAACTAAATATAACATTAAACCTATCATTATTCAAATTGGTCCACTCCTCGAAAACTTGTTAATCCACTTGCATAAGCAAAGGATAAAATCAAAGGGAAATAAGTGAGAAAATAAGAGTTTCCAAAAATAAAATACACAGAAAATTGGGACTCCTAACAACATGCACCCTGGCAGACCTCCAAAACTGTCCCCAAAACAGTACTTAAAGCGTTCATCTTTGAGAGAATATAATCTTTCTGGCAAAATTAAAGGAATGAAGAGGGGTCTCTGACTTTTCCACAGTACTGTTCCTCATCCCCAGTCCTACCGAGTTGAGTTATACTGAGCTTCAGACGAGTCTTCCGCTCTTATGTCATAATTACTGTTTTATTCTTGTGTATATACAGCACTTGACCACATTCCACATATGCTCTTCAGAAAAGTAAGGATAAAAATAGTTGATAGATCTTCTGTTGTTCCATAATCATCATCAGTACACCCACTATTGTTAACACCAGTAAAATGCACATATGTACGTACGCCATATAAACATTAGCCACTAGTGAGTTTTCAACAGCCGGAGTACCTGCTTCACTGATACTCAAAGGACAGGTACCTCTCATCTCCCACTCTATGAACACTGTGTTGGTGGATGTTTTAGTGATCACACCATCAGCAAATAGCTCTAATGTTCCATTAGCAAACTGTGATTATGGCTGGCTCGGGGGACCATGGCAACTGCTGGTTACCATGGAAACCACAAATTGATCAGGGGACATCAGTAATGTGGAAAACTTGGTGGACTGGGACAAAGGGACTACCCTCACCAGTCGATGGCCATCGCTGTCTACCATGGTATCCGAAATAATCTCAAAGCTAAACATGTCAGAAGGGGCAACAGTGATGACTGAAAATAGTGGGTGATGAGGGAATTTCCTAGTACATAAATAGCTTTGACCCAGAAACGCAGGTTGTCACCAATCAACTCGTCGCCGGCTAATAGTTTAAGACTTGACACAATCCAGTTCACTGCA